TTATAAACTAACAGCTTACATTTTCAAAATTTCTGTAACGCTACAGGCAGGTAGCTACTTGTTAGCGGTTTGAAATAAAGTTTATTGAGGTGGGGGGAGGGAAAAAAAACATGACTGCGACAATATTGCCTCGCGGACTCACGGACAGCAGGTGAGTTTAACCCACAGGTATGCGGGAAGTGTGTTTTACTCACCTTTCTGTCAGCTTTTCTCTTTATTTTCTGGCACCTTCCATATGAACCGGAGCCTATAGTGTGCAGCACCTCGTAGTCCTCCACCCGGGACGGCATGCTGATTTGTAACCGATTCTAACGTTCAAAACTTACCGGACTGGCGTCACCGTCAGCTAACGGCAACGTAAATATAAACCGGAAGTAGTGTCCTTCAACACAGGCTCTCAGTTTAATCCTAAACCGCCTTTTATGTCTATGTATATGTTTAAATGGTCATTTCCTTATATTTCTTTCCTCTATCGTGTACTCGTGTGTTAACTACCAAAACAGGAAGTGATTACTCTCTGTTTAAATTGGTGCCGAAATCCTTGATTGTGATTGGCCTTGCTCGCGCAGCTGATTGGCAGCCGATTGGTCAGCGCAGAGACGCAACTTGTGAGGTTGAAGCGTGTGGACCTTAAAAATGAGCAGCGTTAGATTAAAAAGGTCAGTTATTAATGACTTAATATTTTATGTTAATTTTTATATTGATATTAGATATTGATGTTTTACTATTTTATTTTACTGACTTCATCTTTTTTTTTTTTTTAACGTTTGTTGTTGTTGGTAACTTAATTATTCCAATGAAGGAAATTCCTTTCTTTGGGTCAAGGGTTACTTTGAAAATACATCAGCTCTCAATGGGGAGATAAACATGTTGGATATCTACACTCATATAGACTGGGTAATGCATTAGCAATAAAATGATGCCAGATCCTTTGACAAAAGTGAAAATTATTAAATGATTTACCTTTGGAGGGCTTAATTTAAAGACCCTGAAACTCAAAGTAAAAAATAATGTGTAGATTTTGCCAAAATGTACCCAGTAGTTTGAATGGCAGGAGGAACCCAGGATTTCATCCCAATACCTAATGGCAGTCCCTTCATGGATATACCTACACAGACCCTTACTCACCCAGCACCACACTGGTCATGCTGAATGATGTTACAGACAGCACAAGTTCTCCAAGGCTTCTCAGACAGTGAGCACAGGGCCCAGATCAATATCCCACAAGAGTATACTGGTGCCGAAATCCTTGATTGTGATTGGCCTTGCTATATAGTCACCCCCCCAGAGGCCCTTTTTATTAAGGTCTGTATTGTGTAAATTCCTGTATTTACCTAATACTCTTCCTGCTGTGCTGTAATCAGTTATTATTTACGTTTGTGTCTGACAGTAAAGCCTGTTTTTCTGGTTTTATAGCCATTGGCAACAGTGACATGTGTTTAAATGCCGTCCCTATTTTAAGGAGCATTTCATAACTCAATTCATAACATAATACATTTGATTGTACATTAAGACATTGTATGCAGTTTATCCTTCTCTGCCTCCTGACATCTGACCCACATTAAACTCATGGACTGAACATACACACACCCACAATGGACAACTGTACCCTCAAACACACAATAATAACATGGACTGAACCACCACTCACAACCACTAGCACTTTATATAGCCTCTCTAGAAACTATCTACACCCTCACTTATCTTAACTGCACTACTGTATAGCTCTGTGTAAATAATCATTCTGTACATTCGATAATCTTTAATCCTACAACTGTTTACAACTTGCATAGTTCCCATTTCTGTATAGCTGTATATCTCAGATTTCTGTAAAGTTATTTATTTCATATTCTGTATAGTTTTTCATATTTATATCCTGTTCATAGCCTGTACATAGCTTGTACTCACTACAGCCTGTACATACTTATAGTTATACAATATTCACAACATACTTCATACCGTGTACATTATAACATACCATAATAGACCCATTTCTGTAATATACTCACATCTATATTATTGCTAATATATATTGTAATATATCTATATCACTAAAGCACTTCTGGATGGATGCAAACTGCATTTCGTTGCCCTGTGCATGTGCAATGACAATAAAGTTGAATTCTATTCTATTCTATTCTTCTAGGGCAGGAGTTGGGAACTCAAGCCTCAAGGGCTGGTGTTCTGCAGGTTTTAGATATCACCCTGGATCAACACACCTGAATCAAATGATTAGTTCATTACCAGGCCTCTGGAGAACTTGGAGACATGTTGATGAGGTCATTTAGCCATTTGAATCAGCTGTGTTGGATCAAGGACACATCTAAAACCTGCAGGACACCAGCCCTTGAGGCCTAGCATTCCCCCCACCCGTGTTCTAGAATAAAGACAAGTTGCCCGAGTTAGCTTTACTTTTCCATAGCTTCCACTTGTCTTCTTACGACACTGGCCTTTATGGAAAGACATTCTCTGATCTCTGATTCAGATAACCACGGTTCTTTGACTTTTATGTCTGTAATTCTGGTTAATTCAAAGCTGGTTTGTATCGTAGATCCTGGTGTGGAAGGAGCTGGATTATGGCACCATGGCAGAGGGTGAGAAGCAGATGCTGGTGTCAGAGGTGAACCTGCTGAGGGAGCTCAAACACCCAAATATAGTGAGGTACTACGACCGCATCATAGACCGGACAAACACCACTCTGTACATTGTCATGGAGTACTGCGAAGGCGGCGACCTGTCCAGTCTCATCAGCCGCTGCATCAAGGAGAGGTGGGGTTGAATGCTAAATGATACTGACGGTTGCATGCTGGTGAGTCCTTTCCCTTCATCGGTGTATGCATGTGTTTTTTTTTTACCTTGACAGGCGCTATTTGGAGGAGCAGTTCATCCTGCGAGTCATGGCCCAGCTCACGTTGGCCCTGAAGGAGTGTCACAGGCGGAGTGACGGCAGGGCCACAGTCCTTCATCGGGACCTGAAACCAGCCAACATCTTCCTCGACATCAAGCAGAATGTCAAACTGGGCGACTTTGGCCTGGCGAGGATCCTGAACCATGACACCAGCTTTGCAAAGACGTTTGTCGGGACGCCGTACTACATGTCTCCAGTGAGTGGCTTCATGCTGCTGGAGTTTGAAGTGTTTAATCTGAGCTTACAACTTTCCTTGCCTGAACTTTTGATTTTATTCTTGTTTGTTAATCTTTGTTTTACTTCATGATTAAAAAAAAATGAGGACAAATATAATCTCTTTTTTTTTTTTTCTGTCAGGAACAAATAAACCGGATGTCATACAACGAGAAGTCCGATATTTGGTCTCTGGGATGTCTGCTCTACGAACTCTGTGCCTTATCGTAAGTTTTCCAGCTGTTCCACTTTAGCTGATTTCCCCACTGCAAACTGTTAGGCAGCAGATCTTGCAGTTTTTCCTGCATTTTTCTTTTTCCTCTCCAGGCCTCCTTTTACTGCTTACAACCAAAAAGAGCTGGCAGAAAAGATCAGAGAGGGCAAATTCAGAAGGATCCCGTACCGGTACTCTGAGGAGCTGAACACTCTGCTCGGCAAAATGCTCAACTTAAAGGTTGGAATTGAATTTATTTTTAAAATTTACATGATATGGTGCCTGAGCTATCTGATTATTTTAGATGGTATAAAAGATGGACCACGTGTCCACATCTGGAAGAGGGGAAGTCTGTGCAGAAATACTTCAAACCTTGCATTCTTTCTAACAGCCTGCAGGGGGCAACTGCTCTAGTTTTAGTGCCTTCCATGGCAAACTGGCCCTCAGTAACTACTTTCCCATGACTTTATGGACTCAAGTGCTAGTTTTAGGTCACTGAATAAAACGTGAAGAATTTTGTAAATTCTAGTTAAATGAGCACTCTAAGCACTTTTTACCACCACCCACATTCACCCATTCTCACACACATTCATACGGTGCCTTTAGGTGCTTTTTCTAACTTTCTCACGCTTGCTCACTCTTCGGTAGATCCTGAACTGGGCCAATTTGTTGTTCAGTATCTTGTCCAAGGACACTTGACATGTGGATTGGGATGTCATGGTGGCTACATCCATCTTTTATGCGGTCTAAGGTTTTGCACCGACGTGATGCTGGCGTCTGATCTGGAATGGGTTCGGGGCATTTCCACCCTTAAAGTGCCAACAGATATTACCCTAGCCTCTGCTAGCAGCATTACATAATAACTGGACCTCAAACTTGTGGAAATGGGAACTAGTTCTCAAAATGAAACCACTGGCAGCGACACTAGCACCACATTGGCAGGAACAAAAAAGGCTATTTATGTTTCATTTATGGGCCCCTTCTCTTGGCAGGACTATTTGAGACCTTCTGTAGAATCTATTCTCCAGAGCAGCCTGCTGAGCGAGGCGGTTGCTGAGGAGCAGAGGAAGGTACAGTCGCGACTCCAAAGGAGATCAGCTGATTCTGATGTTCCTCTCCACAAACCGGCAGAGACGGCGCACGCCTCGGCCACGGAGATCAGACTGAAGGAGCAGGCGCTGCGGGACCGAGAACAAGCACTGAAAGAACGTGAGGAGCAGCTGGAGAGTAAGACCTGTTTAAGCCCTGCTTTTAGCCGCACATACCTCAAGCATATGTCTGTCAGTGTTGCTGTAGTCTGGCCTAGATTTTGGGAGAAATTAGAAAAACTGTATTGTATTTTTAGTAGAGAAATATTTGATTTACATCAGTTTGAAGAGGCTACTCCTAACAGGAACATCCTCTTCTGCAAAGAGGACTCATCAGTATTATCTCATGTTTATGGACTTGTTTTCACATTGGCAGCAATAAGTAAAGTTGAGTAATACCATAGAAAGTACTAGGTACATCTTGCTAAGAGGGTGGAAGTGTAGTTCAAGAAACCTGTGTGGATGGAACAGGTTTCTTCATGTTGCTTGGGGTGTCGCAACCAAACGATGACCTACTTCTACACCTACAGCTCCTACATGTGTGTGTGTGTGTGTGTGTGTGTGTGTGTGTGTGTGTGTGTCCAGAAATATGTGGAAATAAGAGATTGTTAGTCACACACAGCTATGATAAAATAAAATGCCTCCTCTTTTCATTCTAAGATTTTACATGTGCAGACATAATGAAACCTTTTAAATATTACCTGATTTTTAAGACCCTCTGAGGGATGTCCTGGTGTTTAGACTTGAAAGAGGGTGTACTTTCTTGAAAAGTGAGGGATAAATTCCCAAACTGAAACTGTCCATTTTTGTCTTTTAATTACAGGAAGAGAGCAGGAGCTGTGTGTTCGTGAACGACTTGCAAATGAGAAGCTCGTGCGGTAAAAAAAACTTTTAAGATAGAAATGATTTAAGTAATTCATTTATTTTCATTCTAACCATTCTTTGGCAGTCTTTCCAGCTGATTTTAATTTTTTTTTCCCTTTATGTTGAATCAACCGCTTCAGAGTGGAGAGTTTGCTGAAGAATTACAGCCACCTACAGCACCACAGGGACACGACACCGATCTATGACAAAGACATAGGTATGGGAATCCAGCAAAGACTTCTGAACTTACTGAACCAAGACCAGAGCTGAGCAGTTTACTTTTAACGTGTGTTTTAACGCATGTGTCGACAATGTGAATGACTTTGGATCAAATGTATTTTTTTTTTTTTATACAACAATAAAGAAATTATTTTTAAAAAGTTGCAGTTCTAAAAGCTCACACGACACACCTCAGAATCACAGCTGTTGAGATTGTGATTTGTTAACAAGTTTACGTGACTGCTTTGGTCTAGATGCGGAGAACCTCTCTCCGGGTAAGAAGAAGGTCCACTTTGCTGGCGAGAGCAAAGAGAACCAGCGGCCCGATGCTCTGCAGAGAGCGCCGTCCCAGGAGCTGGTGCTGCTGAGGAGGCTGCAGGCAGCGGCCCAGCGGAGCCAAGCTCTGAGTGAAATGGAGAAGATGTGCCAGCTCAAGAGCAGGCAAATCCTCGGCCTGCGCTGATCGCACAGGTGTGACCGTGAAAGCTTCTGAAGGCCTGGAGTCATAACAACTGGATGAAAATGTTCATGTGTAGCTGTGTGTGTGTGTGTGTGTGTGTGTGTTACTGTCTTATTTTTATGTAGCCTGATGAGTGAGTGTGTTATCTCGGGCAGCTAATGCGATTATCAATGTACTGTGTATAGTTTTTTGCTGTATTTATGGCTGTAGACCTTCTTTAGAGACATCTCTAGAAGAAGGGAGACTATGTGGAATGACATGATCCTGTGATGTCAATAAACAAAGTGATTATATTCATTAATACATTAAATTAGGCATGATGCGATGATAAATACTTGTTCTATACCATTTGGGTTTGTTTTTTATTTTTAATTTTTATTTTATATAGCAGTTGAAATGATGTAATAATTTTAGTATCTGCCAAACAGATATGCTGTATTATAGAAGGAAAGAGGATGTGGTCTGAGAGGTGTTCTGGTGTCAGTGGAGCTGAATCCTTCAGTTAGAGAAGATGTTCTGCTGCCTGTACAGTAAGTGGTGTAGAGGGTCTAGATCACAGGTGTTGAACTCTAGGCCTTGAGGGCCAGTGTCCTGTAGGTGTTAGATATGTCCTTAATCCAACACAGCTGATTTAAGTGGCCAAATTACTTCCTTAACATGTCTCGAAGTTCCCCAGAGGCCTGGTAATGAATTAATCATTTGATTCAGGTGTGATGACCCAGGGTGAGAAACCTGCAGGACACCAGCTCTTGAGGCCTGGAGTTCCCCACCCCTGCTCTAAAATGTGTATACTTGATATATCAACAAGCAAACATGACTGATAAATGAGGAATTCTTACTCCACTCAGTTTGTGGGGAAATGTGTGCTTCTCTTGTTTGTTGCCTAGAGACATTACAGCTGTCTATGTTACTTTAACAGGGATAAATCTGTTTGCCCGGCCACAAAAAAAGAATCTGCCCTGGGGTCTATCACAGGGCTGTTATGCAATATGCTATATTTCATATGTATACAGACTGTAGTGGGTCTAAGTTGGGCCAAAACTAGTTTCTCCTGTGGTTTTTCACACTAGTGTAGCAATAGATGTATATGAAAAAGAGATAAGTTACAGGCTGGGCTGATCATTTTCATAGTAATGGAATTGTTTTTATATAATACTAGCTCCCACAAGGGGTCATCACTTTTCCATGAAAAGATATTAAAATGCAATTTGCAATCAAGCCTTTGCTTTGAGTAAGTAGCAGAATAGATGTAACTTATTGTTACATCTGTCTTTATTTCCATTGAAGCTGGTAGCTTACTGGCTTGATTACTGAGTTTTTTTGTGTTTGCTTGTTTGGTTGGTTTTTTCTTGGAGGGGGGGGCAACTTGTATTTAACTTAATGTAAAATTAAATCATTTTACAGCGTAAGTATACGGACATTTGGAAAATAAAATATAAAATAAAGGAAGCAATTATAGTGTGTAGTTGGAACATCAGTAAATTTATTTAGGGATTTTTCCTTGATTAAAAGCTGAGTAAAGACCACTGATTGTATAAAAAAGTGTTTTTACTGGCAAGGGCTCAGTTTCTGTGATTCTTCGCAGTCACCTGGTTTCAGCTGAAACGCCAAGATTTACGAATCAGTTACGGACCTCATCGCGATATTACAATTGCCATTAGCGTGCGTAGCAACCACCGTTGTTTGGCTTCTTTGCGCCGCCTACTTGCAAGAGTTGCAGAACGTGACCAATTACGTTCCTCCCTGTAGCTCGTCGACCAACGGAAATCGTAGTAGGCGTGTCCCACTATGTGCCGTGTTCCGTGTGGAAAGTTTACCGGCTCGGGTGCAAAGTTTCAGCCGTCTGCAAAGCGGAGCTCGTCGGCAAAACGAGCGAGGAAGGTGCTGGTATTTATACGGTTGCTGAATCATTTTTAATCGCCAATTGATTCGGTGTGTGTTTGTCCTCAGATATAGCCGAGTGTTGCTGCCGTCGCCGAATAAGAGTGTTTTACGCGGATGATATTACCAGCGATCGTATTGTCTCAGGGAGCCAAGCTAGCTTAACGTAGCCCGGAGTTAAACGGGAAAGCCAACCAGCGGATGTCGTGGGGATTTCTTGGGCTTTCTCAAACCTGCTGATTTCTTCAACGCTAACTTATCAACGCTAACTTAAACTTGAATCGACTGTGAGGAAGGAAAAATGGCTTGCGAACCCAATCGTGCCCGGCTGCTGTGCATGCTATCATTGACTTTTGGGTTTTTCATCGTGGAAGTGGTGGTCAGTCGGATGACCTCGTCCCTGTCAATGCTGTCGGACTCCTTCCATATGCTGTCGGATGTCATCGCACTCGTCGTGGCTCTAGTGGCGGTTCGGTTCGCGGAAAAAACCCAGGCGACCAACAAGAACACCTTCGGCTGGATCCGAGCGGAGGTGATGGGGGCTCTGGTCAATGCCGTCTTTCTCACGGCGCTGTGCTTCACCATCGTCCTGGAGGCGGTCGAGCGTTTCACCGAGCCCCACGAGATCGAGTCTCCAGTGGTGGTGGCCGGGGTCGGTGCCGCGGGGCTTCTGGTTAACCTGCTGGGGCTCTGCTTGTTCCACGGCCACGCGGGCGGAGGCCACGGACACTCTCACGGAGGGCACTCTCATGGGAGTAAGAATAAGCGGGGCAAAACGAGCAAGAACTCGAAGGCTGGAAACGGGTCTTCGGGAGAGGAGACCAACAACTTGGTGGGAAATCACAACAGCCCAGGCGATGGGAGACCAAGAAATGGTGAGCAATGAGTTGTTGGTGCTTTAGTTTTGAAATGGACAGTCCACCCTCACTATCTCACCATTAATCTGGATACATGTGCCAGTCTTTATCTTCACTGTTAGCACTCCAGATTGTGTAACAGTGCATCAGCCTGCCCTGAGAACTGCCCAAGTGACTAATCCGTATTGGGGGTTTTTCTTGACATATGTGTTTGGCGTCTCATATTTGTTGGGTTATTCTATCCTTGGAAACATGGTCTCCGTGTTGGTGACATTCCTGGGTAAAGCCTCAGGTTTCACTCTGGCTTCTAAATAATGATAACGAGAAGTTTCTGACTGACACAGTTGAGTCAAACTGAACTCGATTTTAAGTTTTTACCTGAATTTCCACACTGACTGTAGCTTGGGCCAGTATTTAAAACTTATAGTGGGATCCTTGTAAAGTCTCCTGACCCCCTGAAGAGCTTAGTGAGTTACCTTATCTGCTAAATAATTAGTAACTAAAGCTTAAAAATAAATGCAGTGAAGTAGGTGCCCACCCTTTACACTCTCCTGGCTGTCAGCTATCAGCAAGGAATCAGAAGCAAAACAAACTCATCTGCATACAGGCAGCTTTTATTTTAGCTTCTTCTTAATTTAATTGTGCTTCTACAAGGTATTGAGTGGAAGAAAAACCGGACAAAGGCCAAAGTGGGGCAGCAGCTGGCCAATCAGCTTGTCCACCATACATTTTTGTTACATTAAACGCTTCTTACCAGACAAGTTGATTGTACTGATAACCTCATGTTGGTGTCTGCATGTCAGTTAAAAAGTTTCACAGCAGCACTGGAGAGCTTCCGTGGCCCTTTCTGCTGGTCAGTCTAACTGAAGGGTTAAACATACAGAAACTCATTTATTCTTCCCCCCGCACTGTTAGACCCTGCCAGTTTCAATAAATGGGGGTTATATCCCCCGCCCCTCCATGCACTGATTGCTGTTACTGGGCCATACATCAGTGTAGCTGTGGAGTCGACAGCCCCAGACACACCATTAGCCACTGATGAATAGACCAGCTTGGTCCCTGGGATGGAAGCGAGCCATTGTTGCTCAGGTGCCGTTGCCCCAGCTTAGAGTGTGTTGCCTGCCATTACTAACTGAATTTGCCTAATGTGAATTACTGAGCAGCATTTTGCTGCGTTTAGGTTTTTTTCTTTGGTCATCTGGCATGTTGTTTTCCTGAGTGTGGCCTTGGGCAGTTATATAGCACAGATTCAGTCACAAGATGAAGTCTTCAGCAGTGAAATCTGCAACATTGTTATGTAGTTTCACATGAACTTTTCCCCTTTCGCTCTTAATAATGGCATTGTATTTAACAGCTGGCTGCCATTTGATGGCATCCAGAGTTTTTACCAGGAGAAAAACAAAACCGAGTAGGGTTCACTGGGAGTTTTTGACGGTGTTGGAAAGTGGGGTTTAATTTTATTCAAAACTGAATACATGTTTTCTTATCACATGACCAAAAACAACAGGACAATTCACTGAATTCTGTTGTCAGGTGACATGATTTCTCCCCCCCCCCCCCCCCATCTTAACTATATGATTAACAATCGTTCAGTGTGCTTAGTCCCCATGCTCAAAATGGGCCCTGGGTGGGGTGGGGGGTACAGTCAGTCTAGACAAACGGACTGTGTTACCTTAGTCCTTGCAATTTCTTACAATTTGATAACCTAAACTGTGTTATTATGGTTTAGTATATTAAATACTAACAAACCTGTTAGCCCCAGATAAAATCTTCTTTCAGGGTGTGTGGGAAACACATGCTTCTTTATGTAGGATAAACCCTGGTCTGTATAATTTGTGTGAAACCTGTGTGTCAAAGTCCATTTGATTATTTAACTGTTCCAAACTAATCTCTGTTTTCCCTTTTTAATCTTTAGAAATCAGCTGTAAAGGCAGCACAGAGGTGCAGATGAATGGAAACACCCACTATGAGGAGATGGATCCCGACCACGACTCGTCGTCGCAGCTCAACATGCGCGGGGTCTTCCTGCATGTGCTGGGCGACGCCCTGGGCTCCGTCATCGTAGTGGTCAACGCTGTAATATTCACCTTTGTGTGGCAGCCCTGCATCAAAGGTGAGAAGTGCGTGAATCCGTGCGTCAACAGCCACTCCGCTGACCATTACCATGACAACAACACCTTTGTCGATCTGCACGTGGGTCCAACTGTGCCGACCATGAAGTTCGCCGGCCCCTGCTGGGTTCTTTACCTTGATCCCACGCTGTGCATCATCATGGTGAGCATCCTGCTGTACACTACCTACCCTCTCCTCAAAGAGTCGGCCCTCATCCTGCTGCAGACCGTGCCCAAGCAGATCAACATGCACCGGCTCAACGAGCGTCTGCTGAGCCTGGACGGCGTCCTGGCCATCCACGAGCTGCACATCTGGCAGCTGGCCGGAAGCCGCATCATCGCCACGGCACACATCAAATGCCACGACCCCACATCTTACATGGAGGTGGCCAAACGCATCAAGGACTTATTCCACAACGAGGGCATCCACGCCACCACCATCCAGCCCGAGTTTGTCACGTTCAGCTCAGAGTCTCGAGACTCCCTGTGCGAGCTCTCCTGTCGGACTCAGTGCGCTCCCAAGCTATGCTGCGGCGCCGCGGACAAACAGAACACCGGCTCTGACAAGAAGGCTGCAGTCGCTTCAAACCTGGAGGTGATCAGTGAGACTTCAGAGGCGGCGGGGGTCGTAGTTCAGGTGTGCCCTGGGTCTGAGGCTGAGGTCAGGATTGCCAGAGAAGTGGAGTCATCTCTGTGAGATGAAGGGTGTGGAGAAGAGCAGAGGAGAAGCAAGAAAACCTCTACTTTGAGCAAAAACATCATCATCATTTGCAGGAAGCTGTACTATTTGTGGCTTAATCATTTCCCCCGATAGGTCCTTTTATTTTCGATTATTGCCCATCTACACGCCTGAACCCCTTTCACTCCCTCCCATGTTCATACATTGAGCATTAGTTCAACCCCCCCCAAGCCTCTCCTCCGCCACTCAGTCCCTCCCTTGTTGTCTGTGGCTCTGGCAGTATGGGGGTATGGTTGCGATGCATGTTGGGTTGCACTGACCTCATCTCCACTAGAACTGGATCAAGGCCTGCATGAGCGTCATTAGCACCGTGTTGTGATGTCTCATCTCGTCTCATGGTGTTTCTGTGCCAAAGCTTCTCAGTGGACCGAAGGGATCAGAGGGACATTCCCTCCTCCAAATGGACACACAGCACACACATCACTAGGTTATTTATTTAGCCTATGGACCTGCTGGAAAAGAGTCTACCTTCCTGTTTTTTTGTGTAGGCTTCAAGCAGACCTATTTTCTTTACCCTCTGGCCTCCAGATGGAATAGTATTGTATTGCATAATAATTTATGTACCTAAGTTATTAGAAATGATCTATTCTCTGTAGATGCTGTTTGTAATGTTTAGTTTGGATGATAAACATTTATTTTTTCTCTTTTCTCTCTTCTTGAAATCTTTTGACAGACCATCTATGATGAATTCAGTTTTTTTTTCCAGGTGTGATGTTTTTATAATGATTTTGTTTCTCAGACGTTTTCGTCTGGCCTTGACTCGGATTTAATTGCAGTCGTTAGCTGGATACAAAAGCCGTACCAACACCTCTCTCACCTTGCCTTTTAATTAAAGAAAACTGTTGCGATATGGCACTAACATAGTCGACTCTGTGTAACAGGACTTCTCGCAGTGGCACAGTCACCTAATTAATTAAATAAACGTTTATTCTTAAATTTCGATGCCTCACAAGCCAGAGAGTTGCAAAGAAACGAGCACTGTTCGCCATTTAGTGAAACCTCCGTCTGAATTTGTACCGGAAAGCTTTCTGTTGGCCTGTTGGGTTTTAAAAACCCTCATGAATGTGTTCGGCACCTTGTCACAATCCATGCTGAGGGAGGTTTTTTTTTTTTTTTTTTTTTTAATTTTAAATATATATATATCCAGGACCTTCTGTGTTGTCTGCATGACCAAACTGAGACCTGGTGTTCGACTTTTTAACAGCTCCACTAAGAGCTCTAGTTGCTGCTTACCAGCGTCTGCTGGTATCCTACTATATTACTCATGACAGTGTGTGGGGGAATGACTCATCATATAGCTCTGTGTGTCCTCTGCTGTGGACAGCTGAGGCGAGCTGGTTGTTTGCTGAACTGAAGTCCATACAGTGGCCTTTGAATTTGTTTCGACTTTTCCCCTCATCAGCACAGATACCGTGTGAAGTTGACCTGTTGATGAGTTTTGGATTTCCACTCTTTGATTTATTTTGCATTATAGAAATGTGTTCTGGGATATGTATTTTTTTTCCATTTGTAATGTTTGGTCACTTTTACTCTTTTATGACTTGAGCTCTATGTGCAAATCGAAAACAAGTGTGTGTGTGTGTGTGTGTGTGTGTGCGTGTGGTGGGGTTGTGTGTTTTTTTTTTTTTTTTTTTTAAATTTTAGATTAATCAGCTGATGTGTTTTTGAACTGTATGGTGGCATGCAAAAGTTTGTCCACTGCTGCACTGCTGGTCAACATGACTTACTGTGACTAGTTAATAAACAATTACCTTATTTCCAAAAGGCAAATAATGGTTAATGGACTTATTTTTAAAGTGTGTAAATAATAGGTTTACCCTCTGCATGGTCACTTTTTTCTGTTGGTTGACTGTGAGGGTCTTGGAAAACTGTCAGAAGTCTGCTCTTCATCTTCAGATCTTTTTGTCCAGTGTTTGCCGGTATTTAAATCAATCCACTCTTCTTTTCACCAGTGAATGCAGGACTCGCTGCAGCACAGCATGGTCAAAGCCATCCCCATGCTTAACAGTTGAACAAGTATTCTTCTAATGAAAGTCCTTATCCATTTTTTTTCCCCAAGCATACCTTTGCTTATTTGGCCTGATGAGTTTCGTCTGCTGACTCTCCAATGAGTCATATTTGCACGTTTCACGGCGCAGGAGGTCGGTGCACAACGTCTCCAGCCTCTGATAAATCTTCCCAAAGGTCAAAGTTTTCCTTGTCTTTCGCACCTGAGCTGCATTTCCAGTATACCTTAAATTCTTTGCAGACTTCAGGATCAACTATCTGAAAATGCTTTGCTCTCTCCTCCTGAGTGGGCACCACTTGTTTTAATCTCCAGACTGCTATGGAGCGCCTTAGAGGAGCAATATCAGAGTGTATAAAGCTTTAAAATATGAAACTCACAACTTTTCCCAGTTATTGCGAATAAGCCATAGACCTAAAAGCAAATTAAGGTCTGAGACTTTAGTAAAAATTATTTGTGAGGTCAAATCTTGTGTAAAATGTTAAAAATCTATAATTTTCTGCCTTCTGGAGATCAATCCATCCTCTGTTTGCTTAGCTGTTCACAGTAACCTAAACTATTTTGCAAATTATCCAAACTTCTGCATGCCACTGTATTGACATATATACCTAAAGTACCTGTCCAGTGTGTTATTGTGAAATTAAAGCAAAACATGTTCGTTAAAGCTGAAGAACCCGAGTTAGTCTCATTCTTACTTTCTCCAGCTTTTCAAATGTACATTTTTACATAGAGCACCACTTTTTAAAAAGTTAGTAAATTACAGAAGGTGGAAGGTGGTAATGGCAAAAGCCAGAGCATCTTTCAGCTTTTCCCTGCTGCAGAGAAGGACCAAAGGAGTACCCAGGGGTGCCTTTGCTGCCCTAGATAATCCTACCTCAGTCAGGAAATTGTCCAGTAACCCTGGATCAGCTCCAAGTTAACTTAACATGTCAATCAAACAAACACAAACGGAAAACAAGCACGAAGTGAAGCAAACCTGCGAAAGAAGACTGAAATGACCACAGAAAAAGACTTGTGAGAACTTTCAAATGCACAAAACACCCACAAAGAAGCACAAGGTGAAACAAGTGGTGCATGTGGGTTTGCTGCCGAGGTTAAGGGAAAAAAAAAAGGTAAAAAGCTGTCACTCAAAAAGAATCTCAGTGAGGATATAGAAAAGAGTTTTAAGCAACAATTACGAATTTTCTAAACTTGTGCTTTGAAATCTAAATCTTTCTGTGTCACAGCCATCAGTTAAAGTCAAATTAACACAGAAAGAAACATTTACAAGCCCGCTGTGTGTAAAGACCCGTGCACGTTCATGTGGCTTGTAAGGCCAAGTGGATATTTGTGGCTTATGTCCTCTATCCAGCTCCAGAAACCTCAACTACCTAAACAGTGATAACGGTTAGCCGTAAATCTCTCTGAGTGACTTGTGCAGTTACATAAGTCCATAATTGCAGTGTTTCACAACTCTTCTCCACGGTTCGCAGCAGGGAATCCTGGCCTCCGTCTGCAACTGGGTTTCTATGGAAGTCTGGAGAGGCTGCTGACTGAATATGTGGCTGCCGCCGGCCCGAGAGGCCTTATGTAAGAGACCCAGGGGCATTCCAAGGGCAACAAGCATGAGGCTCTCACTGGATCCTTTCACATGGACAGAAAGGGGCTCGTGCTGTGGTTGTCTCTCATTATGTACTCTTGGGTTTAAGTCAGGTGTTCTCCTGCAGCCCCCTGAATACAACAATCCTCTACTCTGTGGCTTGTGTGTGTTTCCATCTCATCCGTATCACTGAGATAAGCAACGGAAATCTGTGAAAAACACAGAGGCTCATTTAACAGCAGTTTAAAGCTGTTGTGTTGTGATGTTTTTTTCTTAAGGCTGCTTAAGAATATAAGAACATCTGGATTTAAAGAAATATTCTGTTTACTACTTTGGTTCTGTGATGCAAAAGTCCTTTTACTAAAAGAAAGGTTTGTCTCAAAATATTATCAACCAACACTAGAAAGCAAAGTGCAAAGTATATATATCAGCCACCCACAGAGGTCACTGACACAAAGTCACTGCAATCAGCTGATGAAGCAATTGATTTTTCTTTACAGACAATAGCAACACGTGCTATATGATATTCATTTGTGTAATGGTGTAGAGTACTAAGATGTCAGAGTAAATTATGGAATAATTTAGGGAAGGTTATTACTATGTGTGTAGTAATATCAGTATATACACTGGAATAGCAGCTAACAATGTAACATAGAGCTTAAATCCAGCACAAGCAGTTAATGTTGTGACTCTATGGAAGCTCGTTTCAGCCACGGAGAAATATATTTCTCGCCTGAGTTATTATCTCAAATAAAAACTAAGCATCTTTCTGCTAATTTCCATTTAAATTGTGACACCATATAAGGACAATAAGTTTACAACAAAAAACAATACAGTCATAGTTTCACAAAAACAGTAATTATAAGGGTCAGAAATGAAAAACAAAATCTCAGGATCTAAAGATGTAAAAGAAGCATTTCTGCATTTTTAAATGCACTTATTTCAATAATGAAGGCTGGTTCTTATTAACCCACATAGCAGTCGGTTAATTTAGCTTAGCATAACGGCTGGAAACTAGGGAAGAAAACAAGCAGCCTGGCTCTATCCAGTGACTGGTTATTGCTACATAAATGTCCTGTCCTTTTTTTTTTTTTTAATCAAAATGAAAGGAGCTATTATTTAAGGCTTGAGGCTTAAGTATAACTTAAGTATAGCTTAGGCCTGCAGCTACCAAATTATTTTGGTGACTAAAGTGTTAAAGGTTTAAATGTTAACCTCGAGGCTTCTTCACTAGTAAATCTTACTATTCTAGGTCCGTTAGCCGTGGTTCACTACAAAACAAAACAATGTAGTGATTAGAAGCCAGTGGGCAAATAAATCGGGCAAATAAATTCATGTTAGGAAACATTTTTAACTTTAAAACTATTGCTGCACATACAGCTGAGCTGATAAATGACCCTGCTCAGTCAGCCGTATCAGTAAAACCAGTGACAGGTGAGTTGAATAACATCAGGTTACAGCAGCACCTGTTCAAGGCTGGATGGCTATTAGCCAGCAAGTCATCAGTCAGGTCTTGCAGTTGATGCTTTGTAAGCAGAAGAATGGGAAAGCGACTTCGACAGGAGGCCAAAACCACAGAGACTCCACCTGTTGTCCAAGCTCAGGTCAGAAACGATTCCCCTCCGGGCCTGCTGATGTTTTGAGCCTCTTTGGGGTGTTTTTAAACTGAAACCCGAACAGCAGCAATGCATTATTTTGGTTCAAGTCATTCAGCAGACTGATACAACAGACTGCCAGAGTAACAGCACACTTGTGGCATGGGTTCCTTTCAGATATTATGAACTGAAACCCGGATTTTTGGTGAAAAAAGCAGAACTTTGATTACTGAGGGAGTCTGTTTTGAGTAAATGTGACAGATCAGGGTGGTTTTGGGTGTGTTACTAGGCTGTAAATATGAGATGATGACTTAAAAAGAAATTGATTTACAGTTCTGTGATAAAGAAAATCTCTGCAGGAGTATGTGCAGCCTGGTGAGAAAAAAAACTACATACCATGATTCAGCAGCTTGTACAGCCACCTTTAGCATAAATAACTTGAAATAATTTTTCTGCCTCTCATATTGTTGTAGATGAATTTTACTTCACTCTTTGAATGTGAATTATGTGCAAATTATACAATATGTGCATTATATTGTATCTATGCTTATTAGGTTTGAAAATGGACACATGATATATGACTTATGAACTGCAGACCAAATCTACCAGTGGGTTCAGATAATGTAAACTAAACTGAACCCGAGACCATTTCCCAGCTGTGCTTGTGCATAGCACAAGTTTATGCCCTTATTTGAATTGCTGATTTTGACATTTCTATCTATACAATGTTAAAAAAAAAATGAAAGCAAAGAAAGGAAAGCAATGCAGTGCATACCGAACAAACCAGTTCATCAGTGCCCACGCTTCCGGGGATTCATCAGAGTGAGTCAGAGACCTCCCAGGTAGAAAATGAACATGACATGAGATCCAAACCTATTGCTCAGGCAGTGAAAGCAAGGGAATCACTTAGAAATCTCCCTGGATTTCACCACTAGAATGTCCTCTCTCACGCTTCTCTCTTTAATCACATGGCAGGCCTGTAGCCACAAAGGGCCTGTCCATCTTAGAGAGATTAGCAGTGCAGGAATGTTACTCAGATGATGATCCTGAGACGAAGAAAACCCCAAACTGATCTTTGTGAGTAAAATGGAACCACCACAATGGTCCAATTTCCCATTAAAAGGTAAAAAGAAATTGAATAAATATTATATAAATTAGAATATACTGTTAAAAGACAACAAATAACATCTACAATGTAACCATTTACATGCCTGTGGCCTCAAAGTAAGGCACCACAATCTAACTGTGGCTGTGTGCTGTCAGGTTACCGCCTGCAGCCAGCAAATCTGTGCTCTAGAAAATATCTGTCCTCAGTCAACATGCACCGAAGAGACACGAGAGGCATATTCTGCTCCTTCAGGGCAACTCTCAAATGAGTGGAAAATGACTCTAATGAAGAAGAAAGAAAAAAAACCCCCAACTTCTGTCGACAACAAGCCTCTCAGAGTGGTCCAGGAACAAGTGTGGGGTATAAACAGGGCATAAAAGGAGTTTTCAACACACAAAGATCACACAAGTTTAATGAAATCAGCTGATATGTTGCTGACAAACAACTGTGAGGGATAAGCCGAAGAACTGCTGGATCTTGACACCACAGAGGCAAAGCCAAAAATTACAAAGAGGAGATACACAAGGGTGATGAAGGGTTTAATACCCCTTGAATTAAACAGAATCTTTGTTACATCTGAAATTACGATGTAATCATATTTACCTACACATATTTACTGATCAAAGTTAAAATAGCTTTCAGCTTTTTAAAATCATTTCTTCTTTTCTTGTTTCCTCTCCTTAAAGAAGTGCTAAGTCATTCATCAAAAGAGGCATTTGTGTAAAAGAGGTAACATTTTCCTTGTCAACCTAAAGTGGAACGTGCACTTCATCTAAACCTCACGAAAGACACTTTCACAAATAACAAAGTAAGACAAAGTGCAGATTTTTAGTGGCATTTAAAAACAAATCTTCCCTGTCTTAAAAAAGTTGAAGCAAAAGTAGAATAAAACACATAATGAGACCATAATGACAGCTAACTACTAAAAGAAGGAATCCCTCTATGTGTGTCTTTTCCCAGTGACATCAGAAGTTAAGCATGGACTCTGACATTAATATAAAGGTGAGAAACAGGGACAAAGCACTCAGTTATATAACATCATAAACAGGTCTGCACCACAGCAGGAGTGCATGCCTGCAGTGCAGTGCACAGGTTGAAAGTAATGTCACAACTACAGGGAGGAGACAAGGAAGTTATAATGACGAAATTGAAACAGTATCCTCATGTCTGAAAATAGGACATATGAAATACAGCTGTTGCAGCTGTGTGTTAACAGCGGTGATATAGTTTTAAAATCATGTGACTGTATTAGTCTGCAGAAAGAATCTAACAAGAGGAGTGCTTTGATTTTCTTCTTTTTGGTCAAGCAGCAAATTCAAAGGTCAAAAATCGATTTCTCGTGGAAGTTATCTCCAGTTTATCGTGCTGACACGTAGACTGAAAAGTTTTATCAGCGCTGCTGAAATGCTGATGTTGTGGAGATGTGGACAACGGAAAAAAGGTCAAGACATGCTGTTTCATCAAAGCACAGATGCATTTATACTTTTTTACTGTGTTTTTATTCTATCGATTTTGGATTGTGTACCCAGTTTCAGATCTTGTGAAACAATTGAAAAACTGAAAGTGGAGAAAGTAGCAAATTGAATCTTGGATTGTTCTCACGGCTGTTGAAGAAAGATGTAGGGAAAACACTCGGTTAATGTTTCACTGACGCTCGCACTGTACGGCCTCACTGGCCAGCCTCTCAGACTTTGATCGCAGAGTTGATCGGGTTCAACCCAGCGTTAAATAATTCCTCACTGATAAACAGCATGATAGGAAGAGAAGAGAGCAAACACTCACTGTCTCCCCGTCCTCTATCATGCAATCTGCATAAAGGGAAGATTCCTCTTTTAATGTCTTATGCTCATAGACTCATGTAACGGCTGCTCAGCATTTCAGCATGTGGACACTGCAACAGCTTATCATCTCTATAAGATCTGAGGACACAGGACAGTTAAATATTAGCTACTTTCATTTGAGTTAAAATCATAATCCCATCATTTTAATGCAAAATCCTGTTATCCTACTACTGCACTAAGTTGACCTGATTGAAGTTACAGTCGTGTTTTAATAAAGGTGGTTCTCTGTTTCTATATTTGTGTTAGTTTTATTACCATCTCTTTTTACTAAACTGTTGTCAGCCTCATGAACCGTCACCTATTATGCAGCTTTATTCAGCTAGGCTTTAAGTGTGAAGTTCCCAAGGACCAGAAAATCTCAAAAACTGAGCAAGAATGGATAGATTAAATGTAATCGTGTCCCAGTTTTTTTGCAGCACGGTGGCACGGTGGTTAGCACTGTTGCCGCACAGCAAGAAGGTCCTGAGTTCAATTCCTCCATCAGGCCGGGGTCTTTCTGTGTGGAGTTTGCATGTTCTCCCCGTGTTTGCGTGGGTTCTCTCCGGGTACTCCGGCTTCCTCCCACCGTCCAAAGACATGCAGCTTGTGGGGATAGGTTAATTGATTAATCTAAATTGTCACTAGGTATGAATGTGAGTGTGAATGGTTGTCTGTCCCTATGTGTTAGCCCTGCGACAGACTGGCGACCTGTCCAGGGTGTACCCCGCCTTTCGCCCTATGACAGCTGGGATAGGCTCCAGCGCCCCCCGCGACCCTGAAAAAGGATAAGCGGAAGCGAATGGATGGATGGATGGTGTCCCAGTTTGATTTTGTAAAAAGAATTAATAGACTATACACACTATTAACAACAGCAAAATCCAAACTTTAATACGGTTACATGGATTTTTTTTTAACTTAAACTAATTTAATTTGATTGAAAGTCAACTCCTTTATATTGTATTGAATATATCATAAAGTCAGTGACATAAAAGACAATAAAATGTTATTAATAGGCTATTTCCATTTATAAACGGCATATAAACTGAACATGGAAAGTCATTCTCAGCCAGCAATCTAGTCAAGATCAGCCGATCTCAGTGTCCGCCCACATCAGCTGACTGCTCAGCACTCTTCTACATGTGTTGTTGGCAAATCTCATATGGGCTGTGCTGTTTAAATTGCTTCAGCTTGACTCTGCAAGCTGCTTTGTAACCCCCCCTCCACTCTGGCACTTCCTTTTTATGTGAGTTAATCAGTCACGTCAGAGAAACCTGACCTATTCAGTGGGGAGGCCCCAAGCTATGACTGCAGAAGCAATGACCAGCTAGTTTCCCCAGCTTGCCTGTCACTGATCAATAAAGTTGTTTTTAATCATGTAACTGTTTGGTGATGATTAAATCAGGCTAGAACATTTACTCCTCTGCATTTTGTCGCACGTCACGATGAAGCTGCAAACAGACTTTTGCTGTTACGCAATCTTAGCCGCGCTTCCTTTTCTCCTGACGTTCTCCGCCTCCAGCTCACAGATTTGTGATGATTCACAAACATTATCTTTGGAAACAAACACACAGGTATGAGCTGCTGTTGGACACCGCGTACCTCCCTCCTCCCCCGACTTACACACGCGCAAGCTATCATCACCGTGTGTGAGAACCAGCAAGCTCACGACGGAAGGACTATCCCTGACTGAAGAGGCTTTAATATGCTCCCCTCCTACACACACACACACACACACACACACACACACACACACACACACACAGATTCAGTGAATTCCACATTTTGCTATATTTCAAACCCAGTTTAAAATTGACTTTGCTCAATATTCGACGGCAACACAGAAAAACAATCAAAGATGAGACCTGGTACATGGATAAAAACCTCTCCATGTACCAGCGCTCCGGCATATTATAGTCTTGTACATCTCATTTATTCTTGAAGGACATTAAGTCTTTTAAATTATTTATGATGAAAGGCATTCTGGAGGGAAAACGACTGCAGTGTCCTCCATTTGGAGAAGTTACTGCAGATCTGGACTTGAACACTTTTATGGTAAGGATAAATTAAAAGCTGAACTACCAATGACAACAGAGTACACCCTTTTACCCTCGAATTTGTATTGAAGGGTTGTTCTCTTTGTTGGTATTTTTATCTATGCTGGGTTAGCTGTGAGCAATGATAACCAATTATTGTTAAAGTATTCAATCATTTAATCAGTAATAACCAAATTTATTGGATTTGGTTACACAGAAGAAGATTAGAACCAACCACAGTCTAGCTCAGTGTGGCTGGGGTCAGACCCAGTGGTCTCTATGAGTAACATCAGAACAGTCACCTCAAGGTGCTTTATATTGTGAGATAAAGAGCCTACAATATTAGAAAAAAAATCCCACCAATCAGCCGACCTCCTTTAAGCAAGCACTTGGTGACAGGGGGAAGGAAAATCTCCCATTTTAACAGGAAGAACCCTCTATCAGATGGAGGGGCAGCCGTCTGCTGTGACTGATTGGACGTAACATACTCCACCAGTCTGACTTCTAAAGGTACCTGACAGCCAATGGGGAGTTAGCCAAAAGGTGCCGAGGACCTTTGGTTGGGCTGAAGGTTTAGAACAAGTTTTTCTATCAGGAAATCTGGGAGTAGTCTAGTCAGAGTCTGAATCTGATCCCAACAGATCCCTGAGGAGGCCTAAAAATTGAAGTTCACCAGCACTCTCCATCCAGCCTGAGGGAGCTTGTTTCTTTTTGACTGCACAATAAAGACACCAAAGTCAGTTCACTGAACATTGATGCTAAAGACATTATTTCCAACAAACCTGCAGTGTATCTTTGACTGCTTAGAAAGTAACCATCAGTACTTTCAGACTAGAAACAGTATTTATTCAAAGCACCAGGTACAAGTTCTTTGTGTTTTTCAGTGCTAAGCTGGAATTAGCTGGTATTATTCGTTGATCAGAGTTATAGTGAATTGTAGTAGTTATAGTAACAGAAATGTTCCCTCTCATTTTCCACATTTTGTGCAACAATGTTCGCTCAGTTGTGAAAGTAAATAAACCACAACAGAGGAAAGTGACAAAGGGTAAAAGCTATATAATAATAATTTAATTTATGGATGTTATTGTCAATCAAATGTAGATACATTTATTGTGCACTATTGCTTTTCTGAAAACAAATGCTTTCCCCTAGACTTAGACTTTGAATATAGACTAAATCAATTAGCCAGTAATTTGCCAACACCCAGGCTTAAGAGAGATCATTCTGCACAGAAGGTGAACTCTAGTTTTCATGGAGGATTTTATTCTTTCGTTTCATTACATTTCTACCCATCTGCCATTGCAATATGGCCGTGACAGCCAGCAAATCACGCCTCAGGGTGGCCATGCCAAGCTGACTAGCCGACTGTAAGCTGGCAGGCAGATCTCAGTGCAGACCGGTGAACAGGGAACGCTGGGATTTGTTTTACATAACATGTTTTTGTAAAGTAATTCATCACTAGTCTTGCTCGTGTTTTTTCGGACATGTTGTTGACAGAGCTGCTTTGAGAGCTAGATGTAGATGGTTAAAGGTGTCGCTTTCAGCACACCCACATCTCTGCGGTTCCCCTCAGCTGTAACCAAATGTTTTGACACTTTGTTTTTCAGCCCACTTTAGTGCTTTTCACGCACAGCTTTTTTTTTTTTTACGTCACAGATTCAAACAGCAGTTTGACAGTCTACAAGTCCCTGGTGCGCAAAAAAAGGATAATGGAGCCAGATGTTTCTCTAAAGAGATGATGAGGAAAAGAAAAATGAGGAAAGAAACATGATTATTTTGATTGAATGTGGATGGAAAAGTGATGTGTGATGTATAGGTGTCTAGTGTATGTTTTACCATGTTAAACTTTGTACTGTCTTGTCAGTCAATACAGGTTTAAGTAGTTTAGCACTTACAGGTATCAGTGGGTCTGGCAAGAAGCTGTGTTTGTACCTTTGTAGTATTTTTAATAAAGTTACCTGACAAGCGTTGCTTCCTGTGCGGTTACTTGTCCTAACAGACCACCTAAAACATCAGTCCTCAAGTTTAAGTAAGTGAAATTTTATTTTTTCTTACTTGGCACTAGTTAGCAGGTTCATTTGTCTGTGACAGTAATGTCACAGACAAATGAACAAAACAAAAGACAAAACAAAACAGCATGGCGGTGGCCGTAGTACTAAAATTAAGGTTTCAAAGCCAAGTTTCACAAACCTACAGGTGATTTCATTGTAGGTATTTCCATCTTTTATATACAGTACTGTGCAAAATCATGAGCCATCCCTCAATTCTTTATATTTTGCTAAGAAAATGGGAACGATTTATTGAAACACGCAAACATGCACCCAAAATTCAAGTAATTAAGATACAAAACAGAAAGAGCTTGAAATGAAAGTCAAAATTTGATATTACCTCCTTCAACGCAGTCAGTCTTGTCTTTTTTTCAGCAGTCTTCAGGAATAATTCTCTTCTTTGGATGTCGGCTGCCTTTTGTTCCATTTTTCTCAAGATGATCTGACTCTGCTCTGAGGAGGCCGATCCATGACTGATTCCCATTTTTTCCTTGTCCAGGTTTCTTATTTTTTTAATTTATTTATTTTGAGACACTGAACATAATGCGGAGATCCCAAATATCTGTCCAAAAGCTCACTGAGAATCACCTTGTTGTACAAAAGTATAGTTTTATGCCTGTCAAACTTGACACTTTTCATAGATTCTAAGAAATGGTAACAAATGATGCGACACAGAGATGCTTAGTGACAAAGTGCATAACGATAATATTTAATATTCGTTCTTTTGCTAAGCAATCAATCATGTATAGACACAACAGTGGTTCATCCCTTAAGTTAGATGCCTTTTTTAAAACCGTTTTTTAGGCAGAAGACTTTTGCACAATGGTGTTAAAGAGCTGTACAGTTAAAGTTAAGAAATGTTTCATGAAGGTTACCATAAATGCAAAGGACTGGTGTTATACCATCAGTTCAAGTAATCCCCTGAACGTGTAATTTTGCACTGGAATATGAATAAAAAAATATTTCATTAAATACTTGTGTGATGTATCTTCTACCTGTAAACGGTTTAATTTTTTTTTTTTTTGCTTGATTTTAAAGTTTCTTTATGGGTTCTTTTCCACCTCCTCTGACTGTGATGATCTATGAGAACATTCACGTCGCAGCACAGATTCACTGACCTTAGTACACACTCCACAATCCACACACCCCACAGAGGCTTTTCTAGTAAAATGGGCCGCTGGACAAAGGCCAATGAAAATGGGGATGTCAGCATTTTGGAGGTTTTTTTTCCCTAAGTCTCCGCTCTCATGTGATCTGCCCTGCATTTCCTTCCCCATTGTCACAGCAGAGGGCAGTTTGGGACATTGCTGTCAGGCCAATTTCACTTCCAGGCAGAAGTCTGATAACATGTCCTTTCTTCCAGGGCTGTAGGGTTACAAAATAATCAAAAGTTTGCGTCATACAATGAAGAAGGTGGATTGAATAAAAGAAACAATGAAACGCCATGATAGCAGGACCAAGGCCCTCTGATAAGTGGATTTTTCTGCATCGCAGTTCTTCATTACTTTTCTTGCCTTTGGTTTACAGAAACCCTTACCAAGTCCTCCATTCACAGTGAAGAACCTGCTTTTAAAATTTGCAACAAAAATATGCCTCAAAATATCAAAAAAGGGAACAACAGATGCTGCCATCCTGATGATGTCTTCTTTAATGAGATGCCTTGTTTACTTTAAGTGAGTGTCGCGAAATCAATCAATGCCGAGCAGTGAAACAAACCACGGAGGCCCCAGAAAAGTGCAATCAAACGATGAGTTTATTAACACACAGGAGAAAACATCAGCATATGTCTTCTGACAAAAATACATGTTGTGAACACTTTAAAAACAGTGAGGTATCCGCCCCTCCAAGGCAAAAATAGGTTAAAGACGTTAGTTACAGTAAATGGTACACCTTAGATGGCTATAAACAGACATAAAACTTCTCATTTCTATAACACCTTCCAAACAAGGTAATAACTTCAAGCCTTCAAGGTGTCTGAGGGCTGGTTATTGACTCCGATCATCTGTTACCAAGTAGACTAAAATGCAGTTAGAAGCTAAATGAGTTAAGGCCTCAGGCCTGGCATATTTCTAGATTATATGTGTATTGTAAGCATGTATTGCAGTTATCTTTCTATGCTCTAGTCTTTAACACAATACATTGTGAAGACTCGCGCTTCACAAAGCTTAAGACCCTCTGTAGATTTAAGCAACAACTCTGAATGAGCACAAATAATATGCAATGTGTATGACCTACTTCTGGCCGTACCTGTAATAAAAGTTAACATAATGGAAGGATCCTTAAATGAACATCTTCAATAAACAACTTTAATGCAATATCAATCCTTTGAGAAATATTATTGAATGGAATAATGCTGTAAAGAATGTTATTAATGCAATTGTAATGAAGCAGGTTATATGGCAGCAATAAAAGAATTTCTGTATCTCCACATTTCCCTCTTTTGACATTCCAAAAAGGAATGTCACCACACCTTGTGTTGTATCACTCCCTGCCCCACTCTATGGGTTCTAAGTTCACAATAACCAAAAAGATTCAGCATGTACGTTCATTCATTCAGCATAAAGTCATGAATATTTGCAATGATGCAGGTCCTGCGTTGTTGAGAGCTGAAATCCAACATAAATGGAAATGGAAACTTCTAGACGATGCCTTCTTTCTTCCTTTTTAAGTATTTTTTTTTTTCAAACTGTTGTTTAACCTGGAGAATAAAATATCAATTTTAAATTCTTTGTCCAAGAAAGACATCAGTTCAGTCAGAAGTGACAAAAATACACACAAATATACAAAATAAATCAAGACTGAGATTCAAAAGCTTCCAGCTTATAGCACTTCATTGGTTGATTAAGTTAAGTTGCATTTTTATCAGCTTGACACAATCTGGTCATTTTCTTCTGGTCTCTGACAGACAGAAGAAGGTACAAACTGGTTTTTACTCCTCTGATTTAAGGGTGTGTTTTAGGGTAGAATTCTTGGGACGACAGCTTCCCATACTTTTCTGACAGATGCAGGTCAGTAAGTAAGATGGCCTTATTAGTACGAATATGATTATATGAAGTCTTTAGAAGGACAAAGTAGACCGACAGAGGTGAGAAGGGCTTTAAAATTCACAAATGATGAACCAAAGATGTGTATGACATGTTTGTGAGCACTGTGGATGCTACAGGTGGATTTTGTCATCTGTGGACAGAGCCAGGGTTACTGTCTCAAACATATATTTAACTATTCCTTTTAATAGTCGAAAATGTCTTTAAAAGGTTTTATCCACTAAACCTTTGCTGAAGTTAGAGTTTGGGGGCATTTTCACACCAGTAAATAAAAGTCAGGGCTCAAGGTCAGATTATGACACCAGAGTTTAGATTGTCACTTGGGAGATAATACAAGACTGTGGCGAGATCAAACCGTTTTGGGAAATCACAAGCTGGATATTTATCACGGAACAGAGAAAATATCTGAAAAAAAAAGACAAAAAGTCAGTGTCAGAGGAACGGACCTCTGACGTCAGTGCCAGTGTTTTGTGCTCGGCTCATCATGTGACTCTTACTCAGTTGACTTCAGTGTGGAGCGCACAAAGCCCGACGCGTGTGGAAAAGAGGCTGACAATGAAACAAAGCTCACGTTCAGCACCGTGTCTGACCATGACACTTCACTTTAATGCGCAACGAGCTCTGAAGGTTAGTGTGACATTTCTGCACACGTCCCTCCGTTAACAGATAACAAGTCCTCCTCGCCCCTTTCATTTGTGTTGATAGTTCAGGAATGCGTTCATGCATGTGGAATAATGTTTGTTCAGCAGGTGAGGCTGCCTGTTGTTTGTTTGGTCCAACTTTTCAGGCTTTTCATCTCAAGAATGTCAAGCAGGAGTTCTCAAAACAAAACAGCTTGCTCCATCTGCTCCCGTTTCTCTCCACCCAAAACCTGTGGTGACTATTTTACAAGCAAACCCCACGTTCTTGCAGAGATAAAGATATAAACGAGCTTATGCGGGGTGTATATGAAGCCTCTAGGCAGCTAACGTGGTCAGCTTCTTCCCCCTTGTGGTGGGTTTGGGTATTGCAAAAGCATGAGGCTCTAAGAGGAACTTAATCATCTGGTTTCATTGTGATTATAAGTAGACTGCTAAAATGCTTCAGTATAAAATCACTTTAGATGCAGGCCACTTTAGCACAAAGGAAGTTCAAAGCATTACAAAGTATTTAAATGCAGATTTTAACATGGATAAAACTGAGTGAGAACTTGAGTGGATTTATGCAAATCCCAGTATATACATGAAAATGACCAGAGTGCGACCAGCTGCCTCACTGGAGCATGATGTCCTTCTCAGTATTGTTTTCCAGGCTTCCTGCAATCAATCCCCTGCTTGAGTCACTCTGACTCACTGTCTACATTTGCCGTGTCCTGTTCACCTCACGGAGCTTAAGAGGTTTATTTATCACGGTCAGCTGTAGAATGAAACCACCTTGTTCACTCTTAGTAATCAAAGCAAATTTACTAGAACAGCAAAAATAGATTTTTGATGCTTGATGCCGAGCTGTTTGCCACCTGTTGAAATAATAACACAACAGAGCATGAACAGGAAATTTACAAGGAACAGTTTAGGCCTGAAAAATGATCTGTGTAAAAACGGGAAACACCAAGAAAAGGCTTTTTGGTTTGTCTGTTTTTTAGGATGGATGAAGGGGTTAGCATCGTTAGGTCCCGGATTTGAATCTGAGTGAAGTTTACATATTTTCCCCATGTCTGTGCGGGTTCAAACTGGACTTCCTCCCACAGTTCAAAAGCATGTCGGTTAAGTTAGCTGTTGATTCCAAATAGACTATGAGTGTGAATGGTTGTGTTTCTTGGCCCTGAAATGGACTGGCAACCTGTCAAGGGTATAACCTACTTCTGGCCCTATGACAGCTAAAATAAAGACTAACAAACAACCCTCAGCATTTGATGTTTTTCACTGTTTTTTCACTGTTTCACTTTACCAAAGAGCTTCCTTATATTATTGTGACCAGTAGCAGCACAGTAAACAAGAGTAGCCCACATATTTAGGCCACATATTTAAAACAACAACAATATTATTTGTGTAGCACTTTAAAAAAAAAACACTCAGTTACAAAGTGCTTCACAGTTTAGATAAAACAACACATTAAAATAAGCCTGCAAAGCTCTCATTAGGACCTCATAGCTACCAGCACAGTACCAGTCTTCATGCTAAAATAAGCATGATGAATGAATTGTGCAAAATGTGGAATGATTTCTTTTTAAATGCACATCCTGACTGGTTTTGATGGAATCTTTCTGATCATTTAGTGCAAAACATGCTCGGGCAGTCACGGAAACCCATTCAAGAGCCTATTTTCCCAGAAAAACACCACGCTGTCCCACTGCAGCAATTTTCACCCGCCTGGTAATTGTTTGCGACTAGGTGCAAATGCAGACAGTGTGAGTCTAACCAGTTTGCTACCCAGAAGTGAGATGCGTCAGATCACACATCAAATCTGCCAAACCATCCAAATGAACTCCGTGCCGGTGACGCACTGTCCGAGCCCTGCCGCCGCTCACTCTGAGTTTAACATGGGGCGGATGGAGGGAATCACTTTAGAGGATTAAAACTGTCATCTGGTTGGATTACAGCGAGAGCTTACCTGCCCATCTGTCACCTTCAAACTGTGGCAGAGAGACTACCTTTGGATAGTGGAGGCCTCAATCCAGCCAGACAGACTGAAACCATGACACAATTGTGTTGGATGTTTGGAAGTATTCAGTGCCTTCATCCTGTGTTATATTACATCTTCTATTTGCAAAGAAGTGCCCGAAAACTCAGTGCATGTGCAGCTTTTGATTGAAAACCCACCTTAGATTCATGTTTTAATAAAAACTCAAGGGAAATTAGGCAGTATAGAGACTTTGACTGATCAATATCACTTAATCATGAGCTGTAGGTGACACAGGATCTTTAGGTTGTAGTTTACTATTATTAAACAGATTAGACTCATGTACAAAAAGAAAATGGTCAGAGTGCCCACTTGACTTAAGAGCTACATTAAAAACACTTTTAGGTAATTGGAAACTCTTAATTGCTCATAGTTGTGAATGTGAGTGCGAATAGCTGTCTGTGTCTATGTGTTAACCCTGCGACAGACTGGCGACCTGTCCAGGGTGTACCCTGCCTCTTGCCCCAAGACAGCTGGGATAGGCTCCAGCTTCCCCGCGACCCTGAAAAGGATAACCCGCAGAGAATGGATGGATGGAATAAGGGGGTAACAAGTCAGGTTTGTTACCCCTTTACCTCCAAGCCCTGAAAGGTACAGTGTGCTAACAATGTAAGGTGGGAAAATATTGGTTGTTTTTCTGTGAAATGACTGTGTACTTAAAATTACTTACATTATAATTTGTCCACTTCTTCTGCACAATACCCAGAATTTAGGCATTACTTAAAGTTATGCGATACTTACATTTACTTACAATTACAATTAAGTATGAAGAACGTTTTCCACTACGTTTGCACTACTTAAAATTACTTATGCAGTATTTGAAATTATGTACAGAATAATTTACATCTCCTTTCCTGTCACATACTTTAAGTTATACAATATTTCAAATTAATCAGGCACTATTTAAAATGAGGTACACATTATAATTACTTAAAGATTAATAAATTTTTCTTGCAGATTAATAGTTTTTGTTTCCTGTAATAATCTGATCTATTACCCCTATTTCTAGTGCACCTACCTTTAAGTATTTGCAGATAAATATAATTGCATTGTAATTTCAAATATAATACCCTGATATTCAATTTAATTACAGGAGAATTAAGTGACAGGCTGTATTATAAAGTGTTACCGACAATTATTGTTCATCATTCCAGTAAAGGAGCCGTATACTTTCTAAAAGTGTAGAGTCTATGCACTTTAACCATAGTTTTGCTTGGTGTAATAATCTGTCCTGTTTAAAAAAATCACTTTGTAACTTATTTACAGAAAAATACTTCCTCTTCATTTTACAGCGCCTTCGTAAAAACGCTACAGAAACACAAGGAAGTGCTGCAGCATGTCATACGTCTTTCATATGATGTGTGTGCTGACTGCAGACAGACTTGAATTATGTGAACTCTTGTTCTCCTTGTTCGCACTGTCTTTATCTCTCTTCCAGGAAACAGGTGAGTGGAGCTGACCTGGTTAGAGATGCACCACACCCGATCAGGCAGGGCTGAGGAGACTGTGGCTGAGTTCCAATCCAGACAATGCACCCTCCCCCTACACACTTTCACTCTATCTGCACGGAGGATAAACATCTTCAGCTGCCTGGGCGACTGAAAAAGCTCTTTGTGTTTTATATTCATACTCTTAACGCAGTGACTGCATACTTATTCACATGACAGATTTACTTTCTTAATTTAACACTGTGTCATTATATAGATTGTTACATACTTTTGGGGCACATTGTGGCATGCATATAAGAAAGAACAGTTTCATGAGTTTTGAGCCTTCTTTCTGAGCTCAGCTCATGTTAAAATGCTCAGTTTTCTACAAAAAAACAAAAACAGTTTCTGAAATCTCCTGGTGAAATTGTACTAAGTCTTATTATTGGATGACTGGTGGATGCCGATACAGGTGGCTGTAGCTACTAGCTCTCTGCTTTGCTTCACTTCTGCTAACTGGAGTAACTGGGTTGTGCTTTTGATTCCTTTTGGACTATTCATAATGCCTTTATCTTACAAATAATACCGTTTTCTATGCCATATTGTTTGCCATATAATTATACTGACTGAGTGTGTGTAAAATTCTAGGATTTTATTTGGATCTTGCTCATTAGCAGGCCTCTGGGACTGTGTAATGCACCCATATGGTCTTTGGGTGCAGCTTGCTAAACCATCTCATCTTTATCTTTAAGCCTCATGGCATGATGGGAAATGCTATCCCTTGATATGATATTAGCTTAAGCTGTGATTTATTGTTAACAGTCTCTCTATAATCTGTGTTCTGCCTGAAGCCTGTTCAAAGGGAGTTCTTCCTCCCCACCATTGCCAAGTGTTGCCCACAGGATTCTTATGAATACATTTTGAGTTTTCATGGCTGGCATCACTACAGCAGCTGTATAGTGGTTAGCACTACCAACTCGAGGGCCCTTTCTGTGTGCAGCCTGTACGTTATCCTTGTGCCTGCATGTTTCCTCCAGATGCTCTCGTGTCCTCCCATAGTTCAAAGACATCCATGCTGGGCTAACTGATGATTCTGGATATGAAATAGATAAAGTGTATACAATGACTGGTAAGTAAATGGGGAATGTTAACTACATAATCTTTGGATTTTTTAATTCTTGACTTCCTCAATAGTTCCTCAACATGATTACAATTTTTTTTTACATTTAGCCAGGCACTTAGGACACAACACTTTCTAAATTCAAGCCCCTGTTTCTGTTGTAATAGCAAGAAATTGTGGATGTAGTAATGCATGTATTCACAGTGAGTATTGTTTACGCCAACTTACTGTCATGTCACTGTGAAAAAAGAGTACTTTTCAGACCTGCTTGAATTGTTTGCTGCAATATTTTTATGAACCATAAATATTGTGACGCATTTAGAGCTTTTATTTTATTTCTTTTTATATTGGTGTCACCATGTTATCATTAGAAGATGCAGGAGTGAATATAAATGTTTCTCTTGTTTTACTTAGTGAGCATTCTCAGTAATGGATTCTTCTGCAGTGACTAAACAGAGGTCGCGGTTCATCCAGCATTTTATTTAGCGGTGTATCGCTAAAGAGGAGGATGGTTTTGTGCTGTAATGGAAGGGTGATGAGGATTTTAAGGTTGGAGTGAGAATGCACAGAAGGAAACTGTCAGAGGTTAGCTGCTGTTGCTGTTGCTGTTGCTGCTGCTGCTGCTACTCACACCTACACACAGAATAAGCCAACAAACCTTGATTTCCTCCTACACAACAACTGCACATTAAGTCTGGACTCTATCCTGTGCATCACACACACTGACAAACATTTCCTCCTGTAATTAGCACATTTCCTCCCCTCCAAAAATTCAGGACCATCCACTGTAACCCAGTGACTCCCATTATCTGCGGGAAGTTAATTTGTTCATTTACACAGGATGACCTCCCGCATGTGTTGTCCGTGCACCGCCGAGCTCCCACGCCACTAACACTGTCCTCCGAACAACATTCTTTGATTTGTCTTCCTCTTTCCTTCTCGCTGCTCAACCCACTCTGTCCTGTTTATCTGCCTCTTCATCGCTCTCAGGCTCCCTTTTCAGCTGATGGAGCTTATTGTGGACAAATAGGCTTACAAGTGTCTCTATGGCAACGGCGGATCGTAAAGAGCTACATAAGCACTTCATCAGGGGCCATGATCCAACGGCTCCCATTGGAGATGGTGCCCCCAACCTCCTGCAACAAGTAAAGGCAGGCCAGAGAGGCTCCTGGGAGGAGGAGGGGAGAGCGAGAGGTGGCGATAATGCTGAGAGAGGATGGAAGAGGAGGCGAGAGAAAAACCATTTCTCCTCTCTCTTCTCTCTGCGTTTCATTCAGCCAGTCTCTTCGACATCCACCCAGCTCTTCTGCTTCCTGAGGACTTTTACTGTCCGGCTCTACGGTGATTTTATATCTTGTGGAGACCAAAGAAAACTTCAGAAACAAGGAAGAGGTAAGGCATTCTTTGAAGCAACAAGCTGGTTCAAAATAAAGGCTGAAAAAACTGACTTCAAGAAGGCATGTATTTTTTTTTCTGGTATTCACGCCACTTATAAATAAGAAATCACTCAGATTTGGAGTCCTGAAAGAGAGCAGCAGACCAGTCTCCAATTCAGGGCTGAAAGGAGTGGTCAGTTTAAATGGTTGCTATTGACAGAGAAATTAATTGACAATGGCTGGAAATCCAGTGATCTTTTAGGTCATTTATTAACAAATATTACAAAAACAGCTTGAGATTAAAGGTCTTTCAATGCTTGGTTATTTTGTGGTTTTAGTTTATGTCATTTCTCTGTAAAAGACTCACCTATTTTAATTTTTTTATTTTCTGACTTTACTTCCTAGCAAGTTTAATATTTTGGACATCTGATTAAAAAGAAGATGCAATCAGATTGTTTTGTTTTCAAATTACTTGATAGATTGAAAAATGCAGCCTTTATCCTTCCTGATGTAAAACATACTGATGCAGTGACTCTTTTACTTGCTCCATTTTTAGGGGTTAAAGTGCTGGCCACTTGGGGTCGAGGTAGGGCTGTAATCTCACTCCATCGCTCTGTTGTGAAACCTTTTCTCAGCGCATGTTTTATTGTAGCCACAGCACCTGGAGGCGCATTTACAACTGATGTGGCCCAGAAGATACCTCCAGCATGTAAATAGATTAACCTACCATAAAAACACTGTGGTCAAGCATTAAAGGGGCTGGTCATGCTGAAAACAACATCTATACTAGAAAAACCACTAAAAATGGGACTTAGATTTGTAAGCTTTAAAGCTGTGAATCATTTAGAAAAAAAAGGTGCCAAAGTCCCATCATGTAAAATCAATGCTTTAAAATCCTGAATAATGACTCACGACACATGAATCAGTGGCCTGCACAGCTGTGCTTTTTAATACAAGCTAACAAAAGGCCCACTATTGATGGGCTTGAATAGAGATCCTTTGGAGCGGATATGACACCTGCAGAACAAAGAGCCGACGCAGCATGGTGGATGTTGTCTTTTTGAAAAATATGCAGATATCGAACACACTTCAGAGGATGCTTTGTTTTACAAAATGAATGTTCATTAAAACTCGTTGCAGGTCAACCCTGTGCTGTTTTTTATGTTTTATTGGTACCATTTTCAAACATCCACAGATTCTAATTAAACATTTCAAGCGTGTCTCTTTCACATTATTTATTTATTTATCACTCGATTGAGAATAAGAATGTTATTTCCATCTGCTATAATTCAAGTTTGGCAGTGTGGCTCTGGGACAGCAGAAGCGAAAATGCTCACAGAGCAGAGCAGGCAACAGAGGCGGGTTGCAAAGTGGCTTGCAGATGTCCAGGAACTGGCAGGTTAATGCAGATTAAATAGCGCAACCTGTATTGCCAATTGGATGCATAAAAGAGCGTCAGCTGAGTCGTCAGCTGATGTGGGCTCAGTTCAGCTGATCTGGGATTAGGCTGATTTTGACTTTGTTGCCTGTTTGAATGAATGCTCTGTTCTCACAGACACAGCCTTTCAGAAATAAACTTGAAGTCTGGTTGTCATTTCCCCTCATCAGTGAACAGTGAAGGAGGACGCGGCCATGGCCTCCTGGTTCAGCTGGAACGAACCGTATTACCGGTCTCCCCGCCGGGACCCGGCCGACGTGGTCACCGACACCCTGATGCTCGAGTTCAGCTGGCAGCTGAAGGAGTCTGAGAAGCAGCAGAGAGAGAGGGAGAACGAGTACCGACGCACAAAGACTGGGGTCGACTACAGCTGGCTAGCCAGCACGCCCCGGTCCACCTACAACATCAGTACAGGCGAGAGGCTTGGCCTGGAGGACCTCTGTGCCAAGGTGCCCCCATCCTGTTGTGGGCTGGTCATACTCAAGTAAGGTGATAGTGAGTAGGCGTGAGATGAAAATCACTATAGCAGTTTAGCAGTATACCATATTGTTTCCTTGTCGCCAAAAATCTACTTTAATTTTATTAAATGTGAAGACAGTTTGACTTCAGAGCTACTATCTCATGACTACTTATGAAATGAATGAGGATAGCTACAAGTTAGCATCTATTCTCTAAGAAGAAGAAGAAGAAGAAAAAAAGAACTCAGAGATTAAATTTATTGACACATTATTTAACACTGGATAATCATGACAGCACAATCACATACATTCACACAGTGCAATGAATAAATAAAGCTATTTAGCTAGCAAGCATGCTAACCTTAGCTTTATTTATTAGAAAAAGATTTGTGCTTCGAGTTGAAAGATAAGATCACCAATGTTGTAAGAATGTATTTAAATATATAATTGTATTTATTTTTTGTAACAATACCCATAACCAACACAGCAATGCTAACAAGCCAATGTGGTACAAAGTTTACTGTTATTTTGGTTTTGTGTGTTAGCACAGCGGTCTTCAACCTTTTTTGCACCACGGACCAGTTTATGTCCGACAATATTTTCACGGACTGGCCTGTAAGGTGCTGCGGATAAGTAACAAAAAAAGAACATTCATTCATAACAGACGGGGGGGGGACAGCAACGATAAAAACCGATAAAACCCTAAAAAACATAAATCTCGACTCTCTGCCGGTACCAAACGACTCACATGGCCCAGGGGTTGGGGACTGCTGTGTTAGCATGCTTCCTAAGTACTAGAGGCTAAGTTGGATCTGGCCATTTTTTTTTTAAAAATTTTCCCGCTCAGGTATTTATAGACACACCCACTGGACACTTCATTACTTCCACTTGTTCAACTGCTTGTTAATGCAAATAACTAATCAGCAAATATCGTGGCAGCAACTCATGCATTTAGAAAGGTAGACATGTTCAAGACAACCTGCTGAAGTTCAAATTGAGCATCAGAGTGGAGCTATTTAAACTGGATAGACAAAATATCCAGTGAACGGCAGTTCAGAGGAGAATGATTGGACTTCAAGCTGATGGTTATGCAACCATGCGCAACCATGCTGAATACACCTTGTTATTCATCACGCTAAACCTTGAAGCAGGTGGGCTACAGCAGCAGAAGACCACATTGAGCGCCACTCCTGTCCTGATTTCTGGTACATTATTCAGATAGTAGGGTCAGAAAGCATAGTTTCATCTTTCCTTGTATCAGTGTTTAAACTCCTGGTGGTGTAATGCATGAAGCTTATTTTTTGGCACAGTTTAGACCCTTTAGTACCAACTGAGTATCATTTAAAATCCACACTGACCTGAGTATTGTCGCTGACTGTGTTGATTCCTTTTAAGACAACAAAATCTTTTGCGACAGTTTGAGACTACATTGCATCAACTAGGCACGAGGCACTCTGGTGGTCTTCAAAAACTTATAACAGGAATGGCTACTGGTCTGTGTCTGTAACCAACTATAACCCCTCCCTAATTCTGTTTGTGTTAACACTTTTACGAGACACACTTAAGCGTCTTCTTTGGCACAGACCAGGGGAAGGTTTTGTGAGGCAAACTGATAAGATGGCCAGCTTCTCCGTCATTTGACGCGTGACTTTAATGCTCTGGTGCATTCAAAGCCATTTAATCTCCGACAGAGACTTCCTGAACTCATCTTAGCGTCTGTTCGTAGAAAGCTGCAGAGGCTCCAGGTGCCTTGTTAGAGTTTAACAGCGTTAATGTGAGTAAGAGGTGAGGTGCTAAATGGTAAGTGGAAGTCACCAACACAGCAGGGACCAAGATTACCATGTTTTTACAATCTCAGTTTGCCTCATGTTGGCAAAGCACTCAGCTGTCTTACTATAAAGTGTATTTAACAAAGTAAAATTGCATTTATTCATCCATTTTTGTCCAGTTCAAGGTAGAAGGGAGACTGGGGCCTGTTCCAGCTGCCACAGGGCAACTGGGAGATCCCCCTGCCCCAAAATAAGTGTTGTTTTTTTTTTTTTAAACAAGCAGTTTTAGGTTAGATATTCTGTCTGGTGAGTCTGATTTCTGTGGAATTGTTAAAAGTGTCATCTTTATTTATATTAAACTTACTCAATTTCATACATAAAATGAAACTGATTGACTCTATTGGTAAAGTTGGTTAATTTTTAATCTGTTTTACAACCGAAAAGAAAAGTTTTGTGCCAGCCAAACACATTAATAACACGTTTTTGAACATCTTACCTTAGATAATACATTTAACTAGTATTTATTATAATCGAGTGAGATTACTAGGGTTGAGAAGTCAGCCCAGGATCATGACATATGAAGCCCTAAGGATGGATTTCCGTTTCTTTTAAAATTTCTTGCCAAACTAAATTGTATCCTTAATAGGAATATTTTACTGTATTTCTAAAATTATATTTTTGGAATCATAAAAGCAACATCAGAGATGCTAAATCTGAGCTAGCATGAGTTGATCAAAAGGCCAATTATGAGTCAGTTTGAAGTACTTACTGAGCAACTGGTTCCCAGGTTTTCTATTTAAAGGTTTGTTAGGGCCTCAGGCACTTGTTGGCAGAGGAGGAACATTTGCCATCACGTGGATACTCATCTGTTACAGGCAGGTTAAGATGGCTCTGAGCATTACATGTCATGGGACGTGTGAAAGATTTCATTTATCGAACGTACCGACAAAAGAAACACAGAATTTGCTAGAAAATGATGATGCTCATTAACTGACTGCAGTTCCAGCGTTAGTTCTGACAAGCATCCTTTTATCAGATCATTTGACCATAGTCGCTTTCACACGTGCACTTTACTTAAAAAAGAAAAGAAAGAAAAAAGCAAAGCATATATATAGACAGTCCTGCTTTGAGGATCTCAAGTGATTCACAGCTAGAAGAGCAAGCAGGTGTTATAATGTGAGCACGTTTGTATTAAAAGGCATCTGCTGTCACTCCACTGGACTCATTAAGGACACAAGACAAAGAACCTAGGTTCCACCATTTGTTATCTCACAATGCTCAGATTTCATCTAATAAATCTGCTTGTTAGATAGTTGTGCGGGAAAATCCCAGCAGATTAGCAGTTTCTGAGATACTTAGACCAATCTGTCTTGTAGCAAATCTCCTTTCTTTTGCCCCTTTTGATGTTCAGTTTGAGCTTCAGCAGGTCGTCTCTATGAAGTCTCCATTCCTAAATGCACCGAGCTGCTTCCGTGCGATTAGCTGATTTGATGTTTTTGTTTACAAGCATCTGAACCTAACAAGTATATAGAGGTGGGAAATGTGACTCTAAATGATTCAAACTTGTTGTATGAGTTAGTTAGAAGCTAATTGCTAATAATGTTCATATTTTTTAAATGAAAAACATTTTTAATGGCGTCTTTTTGTAGAAAGGGTGCACAAAACAACCAAAAGAAAAAAAGCCAATTACATAACCATCGCACTGACAACCACACAATCACTGTTTCATTTCTTTGCACAGGTTCAGGGAGGCCATGCAGGCCAATGAGCCCGAAGTGCATGAAGTTTCTGGTCTGTTTCGCTCTGTCCTCATGGAGGCTCTGGATCACCTGAAGGAGGAGCAGGAGGCGGAGCGACTTGCTCGCCAGTGGAACAACAAACGTGCCATGAGCGTTTCCCTCATGAACTTTAGATCGCGGATCAAGATCAACCCGTTTGGAAGCACAGTGGGCCTGACCACTGCTGCAGCTGAAGGGGCGGGTCTAAGCGACCTCAAAACCGTGTCAGAGGACGTGGAGAGAGGGATGGACAAGGACGAGAAGATGCAGAGAGTGTGGAGCATGCCTGACTTTAGATACAAAGGAACCGGCAGCAGTAAGATTGTTTGATGCGGGAGTTCACGGGACAGAGATGGTGATGATGATGATAATGACGTTTCAGTAGGACTAATGCTTTGTAGCAGTGTCCACTTTTGCACCAGGAGAGAGGATGAGTCCATCTGTCCGCCTGGTTTTACAGTACAGTACCAATCAGCATTTGACCCTGCTTTACTCTCTTATCTGAAGTGTCTTTTTTCTAGTTTATCATATTTTAAATATTTTTCCGTACTTGAAAGAATTTTCCTGAGATTATCACTACTTGAAGTGATGCCTCTTTCATTTTGCAGAGATTTGGCATCTAAGCACTGAGGGCTTTTTAATGTAGCCTAATAGGGAAATTAATCTAATTTAAACTGCTGTTTATTGGGAGGAGAAACTTGGTGCTAGGTCAGACTACACAGGCAGGGCTGGGCTATAAATTTTGTTCATACAGTTTTTGTATAGAAGGAAAACAGTCTTAAAACAAATGACTTAATCCAATGAGAAGGTGAGTCACACGTTCCCTCCTGAACTGCACAGAAGGACCCAGGAACATAATTCATCATCCAAGGTCGGTGAACTGAAAGCTCTCTTCCTGTGCTCTTTATTTGCAAGAGGATGTTGGAGGGGAGGGGTTGGGGGAAGAGGAATTAATCATCAAAGGCTGTCAGATCAAAGTAAAAGCTTTGACGCACTTTAATTGCTGTTTCTGCTCCATTTGTCACCCACCATTATTCAGCAATACATAAAAGGTTTCATCCATCATCCATAAACATCTTGACATTATCTCCATACAAGAGGAACTGACAGTGTCTGTGTTTTTATATGTCAATACAATAAAAATAACTGATTTTGAAACATTGTTCATGAGAGAATAAATGTTTATGAATAAGACTTACTATAATAATTCAACAATACAGAGTCGATTCGCATTTTTAACATAATATACATGTTAAAAACTTATTTCAACACACAATCAGACTTGCACTTTTGCAACCACAATTCTCATCAGCTACAAGCAGAAAATGAACGTACGAAACCTTTCTAAATGTAGAAAGACTGCTATGAATGGGGAAAGTAACTAAGAGCTGAAAGAAGAACAGCAAAGTCTGTTTTCAAATCTTTAAATCAGGTTTATTAAAAAAGAAAATCAGGGGGTGTGACTTGATCAGTCCTCTTTTTGTTGCTACGTGAGACTCCGACCAGGCTGCCGGTGGCTGAGATACACTGTGGGTAATGTTGGAGCCAGCTTCACACATGGAAGACACATATAGATCTAAGCCCATATCTTTTCTGAACCAATTACTGAATGAATTCTGTATTTTGTGAAATGGTATGTTGCGACCTAATTAGGGAGTTCTTTTTTTGAAAGAGATGACAAACTGCGAGCAAATCTGAGAAGTCAGAGGCAGGTGAGCAACTTTATTTCCATCTGGTGGACCACAGATGAACTTACCCAACTGCTTAATAATAACACCGCGTACATCATGAGCCTGCGGTGTGACTGCTTCTTGTTTTGCCCACAGAAATATCTCCTCCTGCACTCCGGCAACGTTGCTGCTGCCTCTCTGTGGCAACTCAATTTACAGTCATCTTTTCCTTCTCAGAAAACTCTGCTTTTATTTTTTCCTGAGATCTGCTGAGGTGTCTGGGCCTGACAAACAGGACCGGTGTTCACAGCGGGATTACAGGGTAGAGTTCAAGAACTCCAGAAGCTCTGCTCGATTTTTGTCTCGCTGTAAGAAAACAAAGCACACATAAGACAAGTGAAAAAACAAACAAACAATCTATAAACTACAAAAAGGCACATCTGATTGCTTACCTGTTTGTCTTTCTTTGATTTCTTTACTTTCATCTTTATCTTCTTCCCTGAAATCATGCTGTATTTGCCCTTTTTCCTGTCCTTCAAATACTGAAAGAAAAACACATTTAATTTTAAAGAATCTTATCAGTTCAACTTCTAACTAATCCCAGGAAAATGCCAGACAGGCACTATCACATTCCAATATCAATGCAAACACAGACTGTACTCAAGACAACACTTGCAATTTGAAGAAATGCACCACAGCATGCCCCAGAAACAGCTCTTTGTTCTGTGATGCTTAACACAGCACTGGGTTTATTATGCATGGAAGCTGCACATGGCGTATGAGGATGGCAGGAAGTCAGGTACAGGAAAAGAATAAAGAATGAGGTCAATTTTCAAAATAAAAGCCAAGTTAAGGATGGAATAAAAATGTCGGAAAACGCGAAGATGCACACCCGCAGTAACAGTATGAAGAAATATGGATCAAAACAATTAAAGAATAAAACGTTTGGGTGTTCTGACTTTAAAATGCCTGTCATATTAGCCAGGCTGGAGTCAGAACTCTTTAAAAACAAAGTTGTAAAATGAAGAATATAACCACCTATTATGGATGGCTTTGATATTAGAAGTCCTTTATGGTCTATAGGATTTTGGAGGGGACTTTATGGTGAGGCGAGCTTCATTTGGACAGGTGCTTGTGTGCTTTGTTATTCCCACCTCAAAGATGAGGAGGATGAGTAGCAATTGTTGCATGTTTTATTCTAAGAATAAAGATGAATAGACTTATTCTATAATTCATCTTTGGCCATTGTGAGAACACCTAATGATTAAAGTGCTAGTCCGTAATCTTAAAAATCAATCACTCTATTCTTCCTGTGAAAGAAATGTTTGCAAATGCATGAATATATTTACATGATATAATGCACCAATATAACACACTCGTCTAACAGAAACATGTAAAGGTTTTTGCTGAATGTTTTCCTACCTTGGAGATCTGCACAGGTCCTGAGCTGTCCTCCTCTCCTTTTGACTTCTTTTCTTTCTTACGTTTAGACCGTTTCTCTTTCTTCCCTTTCTGGAGAGAAAAGAAAAAAGCATAATTCAGTTTTCTTGGGGCTTAAAAATTCTTTGGCAATATAAGCTAACAAATGAATAGTAAATTACTTTTTTATGTTTCTCCTTTCTCCTTTTCTTGGACTGTTTTCTGGATTTACTGCGAGAGTCTAACAGGAACAGAAATAACACACTAAGCTGAATCCAAACAGATATCAGCACTGTGATGAGAAACTTCAGGAAAAAAAAGACTCTTTAGATACATTTCAGACATTTAGTGCACACTTACCACTACTGCTAGAGCTGCTGCGACTTCGGCTGGATGACCGTGAAGAACCTGAAGATGACGATGAAGATGACGATGCAGACGAAGAAGAAGACGATGATGATGAGCTGGAAGAGGATGATGAGGAAGATCTGCTACGGCTGCGTTTCCGCCTCCTTTTTTCTCTTCCTGAAAAAAAGGGGCAAAACAAAAATGTAATTACACAATAAACTAACGTAAGCCATATTTACAAAATTACAAATGCAGCCATTCATCATTTCCCTTGACTGACAGTGTCTGGAAGCGAGACACAGTAAGGTAGTATAATTGGTTACTAAGGTGTAATTTTCAATATGACATACACAAACATAGTTTGTACTCTGGTTTTTACTATTTTTAAGCATTTATATAGCTCTAGGTGCAGTGAAACATAAAGGAAATGTGTCCTGTTTTATTGTTTTTCTGCTAATGTGAACTCAGTCTTTTTTATGTATTTTTGCTGCTATATCTTCACAAAAAATGAAGACTTTCAGTCAATTTTTAATAGATTTGGAGAGATATGTTGCATCTACTATTCTACTAGTAAACATAATAGGTAAACACTAATTTAACAGTCAGTTTTCCTTCTTCTCAGCAACAATCAGTCCACTCTTTGATCCCCAGTCACCAACATGAGACACTGTTTTACACTGTCGGCTGCTATAATTTCCCTTGAGATCAATTAAGTATCTATTCATTTATTTATCTATGTCCAGCCGTAACGTCAAGCCGTAAGTGTCTTCGGCTGTTAACTCTAATAAAAATAAATAAAATGAAAGCGCAACCGGTAAGCACTGGGGGGAAACTTGCCTGTGCTTCTGGATCTTTTCCTTTCATCCTTCCTGGAGCTGGAGGAGGTGGACACTCTACAGTCCGCTTCTGCCGACTGCAAACGCAGAGAAATCATTATTGCTTGTGTTGCGTGTGTGTATATGTGCGGGTTTTGTGTGTGACAAGAAACAGGTCACCCTTTAAAGCTCCTGGATAAGCTGGCAAAGCTACGAATAACAAAACCCCAAATAAATGGAAGAATGCGGAGATATGGATATACAAAAACGTTGCACAGTGCTACGTTTACAGAGCTACAGCTAGAAAACCCCCGCTATAAGCTATTAAACCTGAGCTTTTGTACTCACCATAGCGACAGTTGGGTGCAGTTAAAATTATATTAATATTTTCTATCTACAAAGACTTTAAGAAGGCGTAAACTGTGAGTTTATAACCAGTTATCTCCGGTAAATTAGCACTAGTTAGCTACCTTAGGAAACATTTTGTATCCCATGATGCACCGGTACAAGCTACTTTCAAAACAAAGGCGCGAGAAGAACCGAAAGCTATCACAGCGCCCCCCAGTGGCGACAGAGATATTATTCATTGCAGAGTATTCGTACTGCTTGTGTTTGCTCGATGAAAACATACTACTATACTATTATATTTAAATAAAGAGAAGGAGTTTTGAAAATAATTTAATCAATAAGTGGTCTAGAGAAAGCTTATGCTAGGTTAACAAGAGAGGAACTGTGATGCTTCATTAGAAAACAGGAATGGCAGACAAGTATATTTTTATTCCTTGACCTCCTCTCCCATATCTTGAGAGAGTGTTCCACATTTTAACAGGTCCTGTGGGAGATACATCTAAAATTCGCCTTTTTACGCAGTGTATGTGAAAAGAAGGCTTTTTTATTCTAATTAGATGAATAAAATAAAATCAAGAAAATGCTATGTGCACTAAAGAAGGTTGCAAGCTACAGCTTTGCAGATTTTGATGAATATCATTGAAAATCTTTGGTCATTTTTTCTCCTGCTAGACATGTATTTCAATTTTGCACAGGAGAAAATATAATGTGAATTGACATAATATGTCTGAGTCATAATTTGTTTAAAACAGGTATGCCAAACTACCAAGACTGTTACCAGTGAGAAAAGCAGCTATATTCGAATACAGCAACTATCACAAGTGATAAATGAGAATAAACTTGACCTTTTTTTAAATCATATTATTATTATTATTATTATTATTATTATGATTATTATTATTCCTTAGTAAGAATGTTAAAAAAGTTGCATTCTATATTATATATTTCACAACATCCCAGCATTGTGAACGTGTCTCTCTTTGTCCCACACAAACGCTGTGTTCATCCCACACTGCATGAGGACAGCAACGCAGTGGTGAGATGTGCAGTAGGAGTAACATATGGGTTCAAGGTGGAGGTGTGATTGCATCAAAAATCGGCTCTGAATCCCTTTTTGTTTGCAGTGGTGATAGACAGGGTGACAGATGAGGTCAGGCAGGAGACGACACTGTGATCTATAGTGAGAGTACAAAGTAGTTGGAAGAAAGCCTGGAGAGGTGGACTTATGCTCTGTAGAGAAGAGCAATGAAAGTCAGAAGAAGTGAGATAGAATGCGTGCGTGAATGGGAAGGTGAAGAAGAAAGGAGGAGTAAGAGCGAAGGTGGATGAATTTAAATACCTGGGGTCAACCATCCCAAGCAAGAAGAGCACGCAGACATTGTGGAGTAGGTGGAGATGAGTATTAGTAGTGATTTGCAAAAGAAGGATAGTGGCAGGAGTGAAGGGGAAGTTTCATAAAAAGTGAGACCTGCTATGATAGTTGGTTTGGAGGTGGTGGCGCTAACAAAAACACACGTAGAGGGTTTGTGTGACAGAGGAAGGTACTATGGATAAGGTGAGATTGAAGAAGATGATCTTCTTTGGTGACCCCTAATAAAAATTTCCATGCATTTATTTTCAGATGTTTGTTTGTTTAGTTGTCTCTAATACGAATAATTCAGCTCATGTAGTGGGCTCTGCAGAGCTCAAGTATATTGTGTGTATTGCAGGTCCAGTGATGAGTGATGGATGTCTGAACAAAATTTCATGGCGATCCATCAAAGAAATCAATAAGAAACGGAGAAATTGCAGTTATAATTGAGCCATGCACCCATCGAAGAGTCAGATTATGCACTGACGTCATTCTGGTAATCATTTAACTCGGTTATATTGTGTAGAATTAAAATTATGCTCTGTCTCTCATTGCTTATACAGAGGAGGGCAAAAATCCAAGACAAAAAACAAAACAAAACAAAAAAATCCTCCCATAACATTTCTTTAGTTAAACTGAGAACTTGAAATAATTGAAACATGCTTTAAAATAACCACAAAAACTGTACAAAAACATGTTTATTATGACAGTAATAGTATACCATACAAATAAGAGCTCATGTTAGCTGTATAAAAATACAAAATCATGATGCATTTTAGTGTGAGCATCATAGATCATTTGAGAAAAAACAAGAAAATCATTAAGTCAGTTTTATCTAGCGCTCAGTCCCGTGTTTTAACCTGTCCTGCAGTGCTTTGCCGTCGTGCTGTTCAAAATCTAGATTGAGGGAGTGCACAGTGCACAAATTTCACAGCAATAGAGGAAAGAAAAATGGTGGATATTATGATACTATCTATGGTATGACAGTTTGTTTGTTGCCATCGTGGCACTGCATATTGGTAGGTAGCTTCCTTTTATACTGTTTGAATAATATCTGAAAAATATTCAGTACCAGTTTCTATGTTTAAAGCTTTGATAAAACTGACCATGTCCATGTCTAAGATCTAAACTGTATGTACATGTAGGAATACATTTGCTCTGAACAGAAAACAGAGTGAAAAACAAACCCCAGCTCACCCAGTGACAGCCAATCAACTTTTCTACAGCTGCGCTCAGAAAGATAGAAAATGCTAGGAAGGTTTATTAGTTGCAGTAATATCATACGGCTGTCCCTGCACACTTCAGAGCCACACTGCTGGTTTTTACAATGCCTGACTTAACCTCTCACATGAGGACTGGGCTCCAGTGAGGTCAAAGCGCAGTTTTTCTGCTCGAGCTTCTACAGAAAAATATAATGTATAAGAAAAATACACACTGTAATCATATAGTAAACATGCTTTTATGTTTTTTTATCATATAAAATGAAAAAAAAAAAAGAGCTTATACAAGTGTGTCAGCAGTGAAGCTGTGGAGCGGTTCGGAATGATAAGTCAACAAGTGTAAAAAAAAAAAATCCCTGAAGTTAACCAAATTTAAATTTTTTATATCATGTCATATATGTGTGTGTGTATATATATATGTTATCAGTATATATATATTGTATATATATATATATATATATATTATATATTATATATATATATATTATATATATATATTTTATATATATTAATATATAACGTTTAAGTGCTCTTTCCGATACAAATTCAAACTTTACTATGATGAAAATAACTCTGTGCGTGGTTCGCAGTTCAGAAATGGAATAAGCACCACGTTTAAGCGAATCCTGCATCAACAAACTGATATTTGGTCTTGTGGTGGAGCTGAACTGTGACTTTTTAAAAAAACGTCTTCATTTATAGCTAAGGCAAAATCGTGGGCAATTGTTTAAACATCTGCTTTGTGCTTTGATTGATCTCCGTGAGCCAGGCTCTCCTCGTTCTCTTCCTCCTCATTAGGAACCTGGAAAACGAGCAATGCAAATTATTTGTCTGTGGCATAAATGGTCACCAGGCAAGCAAAATACAGTTCAAACAAATGCACAATGCATTTATGGACATGCATGATATGCACAATGTGTTTCTGTGAATTAAAATCTGTATCTAATGATATACTGATTGACTGCTTATTATTTGGCTCTAATTTAATACTTTAATTATTAAAACACGGTGTTTGTCAGGTATGTGTAGTTTTTGTGCCTGGATGTGCTCACTTTTTCTCTACTTACACTGATATATGAACCAAGTCTATCTGAGTTAATAACTTGAATAAACAAATCTGCCTTCTGCCACTCGCACCAGACAGTCAGAGACCTGAAGATAATATTTATGAGGAATGGGATTTCTTACCTCCCAGTAAATAGAGTCATCGAAGCAGTTCTGGTCTGGAGGTTGTCCCCAGAAAGGCAACTTCATTATTAGACCTTAAAGAAGAAAATGAATGTTTGATCACCCTTTTCTAAACCTCAATGTCTTTCCATTGAGCAATTTGGCCGTTGGGTGTAACATTTATAGTTTTATTAATCTCCTCTGCCCACCTGTAATAGTACCCCCAACCAAAGCGAACCCGAGGGATGAACCCAAGGCAGCAGCTTGCATGGTAGCGCTAGCACTAAGGAGACAGGATGAGAAGAAGTGACTTTTAAATGAAGTAAATCGTGTCAAAGCCATATTGCTTTTATGTGTGTGTATATATGGGTTATTATAATACTGTGGTGAGATTTTATTGCGTGAGGTGACTATTACCCGTCTTTTTTCCCCAAAGCTGCAGCCACAATTCCAGCCAGCCCGCCCAGGATGCCAGGCAAGCCATGCAGATTGTGGACACCGCAGGTATCCTGGATACCCAGGTTGGATGCCAGTATAGGCTGCAGAGAAGGAATGACAGGGGATTTTTAGTCACCAACAAAAGTACACATTGCTAATTCAGATTCAGCCTGTACCAGGTTGTACCAGTTGTATTTCTTTTGACTCACATTTAGGTATTTGAATCCCAGGGTGGAGATAATGCCAGCTACGAGCCCAATCAGCATGGCTCCAAATGGCCCGATGCTCATGTCAGCACATGTTCCCACTGCAACACCACCAGCCAAGGTGGCGTTCTGAATGTGCACCTGTGCAGTAGAAAGACATAAAGACAAGTGTATGACTGAATTTCTGCTTTTAACTCTGTGAACTGTCGCTGTCATAACTATTAGAGTAAAGTTGCCGGACCATGTCCAGTTTTCCTTTGTGCTCCACCAGGCTGGAGATGGCATAGGCAGAGAGCACGCAGGCGGCCAGGGAGAGGTAGGTGTTGATCACTGCAGTGAGCTGAGTGTAGCTCAACGGTGGTTCAGCGATGGCTGAGTTAAAGCTGGGCCAGAACATCCACAAGAAGATGGTTCCTGTAGAAGAGGATGTTAAAAACGGAAATGTCAAGGTCCATGCTGCACAGCTGTCTGTGTCCACTAGATGGCATAAGTCTGACTTCCATTGGAGGCCAGTGATGCACCAGGGAGGGAAAGTCACGGGAAAGAAGGGAAAACTATCTCTGTAAACACATTTTAATATATGATCACAGAATTATTTTCTGTGCTCTCTTACCGATCATAGCAAACATATCAGAGTGATAAACAGATCCATCGTTCTCATGTCCATTTCTTAAACCTGGTCTGTAAAGTACTCGAGCCACTGCCAAGCCAAAGTAGGCTCCGTAAGCATGGATGATCATAGATGCTCCAACATCACTAGCCTGTTGAAGAGAAAGGCATGATAGACCCACAGTAGTGTTTGATAAAACAGTGAATATTCATGGTTGTTATGTGGGGATTTATGTTTTTTTGCTCAGTTCATGGACACACATGCACTTGCTACTATGAACTCACTTCCATGATAGCAACCACCAGATGCTCATTGACGGAAAAGATGGTGATCTCCAGTATGGTCATGATGAGGAGCTGCACAGGGCTGGTTTTACCCAGAACGGCGCCAAATGAAATCAGGACCGTAGCTGTGCTGAAATCTGCATTGATTATTCTGCAGGAGTGAGAACAAAAGTTATTAGAAAAAACATCAACAGACATCATCTGTGATCTATTAGAGCTTGTCATGTGCAGGAATTGGCTTTATTTAGCATGTACTTGGTAATGATGTAGAAGGCTGTGCAAGTCTTAGGGACTTGCATCATGACAGCAACCCCAAACCTACAGCCAGCCATGTGCATTTTTCTTATAGCAGTTGTTTTTGAAAAGCGATATGTGCAGCAAAGAAAGCCATACTTCAAAATGCTGACTTTAATCTTGCCCCCTTCCAGGTGCCAGATGCCCTGCATGAGGAGGCCCCACTGCAGGCCGAAGGCAGCCAGGAGCAAGTTGATGCCCACACTGCTGAACCCGTATCTCTTGAGAAATGTCATCAGGAACCCGAAGCCAATGAAGATCATCACGTGGACGTCCTGAAACACTGGGGACATGAGAAGGGAGGTCAGTTAATGCTGTGTTAGCTAGTCCCACTTTAACCTCAGTTGAATGTGGTCTTATAATTGAATTGAATGAAACACTTATTCAGTTCAAAGTAAAGTATTTGCTGCGACCCTGCTGCTCACAGTGGTATGTTTTTTTTTTTTAACTTTGTGGTTTAAATGACTTATTGAGAAGTAGCTGGACTTCTCAGGATTCATTTCTGTCCACAGTGGCCTCATTGTCAGCTGTGACCTGTCAGGTGGAAAAGCAATTCAATCACACTATGAATGGCATGCTGAGAAAATACCCCCACTGTCCCTGTTGGGGTTATGGGCTTGTGCTTTTCTATTAAGTGCATATGATGTTAATAAGTCTAAACTTAAGATGTCTCAAAGGGAGGGGATGCTTTGTGCACTCTTATCTCTTTTTGTCAGCCGTTAGACTGAAAAAGGCAGCAAGGTTTGGAGTTTGCTCATCTTATATCCCCTGTTTGATTACACACACACACACACACACACACACACACACACACACACACACACACACACACACACACACACACACACACACAAATATACACACACACAAACATACATACACATACACACATACACAGACACACAAACACACACACACAAACACACACACACACACACACACACACACACACACATAAACAGATATATATATATAAATCTATAGATTGATAGATGTAACCCATCTGTGATTACATAATCACACACACCAACACACACACACATCACAACAACACAACACACACACACACACACAACACACACCAACACACATATATTATATATACACACACACACACACATAACACACACACACACACAAAACACACACACACACACAATATATAATATATATATATATAAATATATAATATAATATATATATAATATATATAATATATATATATATATTATATATATTATATATATATATTCGCCTGTCCTTGCTTCAAACCTCATCTGAGGACAAAAAACACATACATACATACATACATACATACATCCACCCACACACACACACACACACAGACATATATATATATATATATATATATATATATAATTTTTTGATAAGTGAGGATAGATGAGTCTGGATTAAGGCCAAATACATTTTAGGGGGATTTGAGTCATCATCATGGCAGGAAGGGAGACTTCTTTTTCCCTTAAGGTTTTAAGCTTGCTATGATGAGCTTTACATGTGGAAAATATATCAAGCTGTATGTATGTGTAGGCTGGGAAACAATAGACTAATTTCCTTAGTTCATAATGAGCACACATTGTGTCTGTTATTGTCTAGACAGGACACACTGTGTTGCAGCCTTAAAAAATACTTTTACAGCTGTTTCTCAGTTTGTTTGTTCTTAGTTAGTTATGAGTACTTAACTGACTTAAAACAAGTGCAAAAAACACCTGCAGTTCCTCTGCTGGCCACTGGTGGCAGAATCTGAAAGCTAGTTTAGTTTTAAAATGTTGAACTTCACAGTGAAAGTAAACATGCTTACAGCATGGTACAAATAAGGTTTTGGTGTATGGATAGAAGAGAATGGGTGAGTTTATTTAGGGGTGTGGCTATTCTAACTGCCTGATGTGCTGATATAAACAGCTGGACAGTGAATGGCTGTCTGCTAAGCTTCACTAGGCTAATTAGCATCACTGGACTAGACCTCTTGACCATGTTTTTGGTGTTGGTAGCTTTGAAAAGCCTGTTGTGTGGTATTGCACATTCGTCTCTCAACACCAGTTAGCAGCTACCTGTCTACTATGTCTGCACTATGCTTCTGTATACATTATGAATGCAACTTGCTAACCAAGGTTATGAAGTTTAGCTGATAGTTTAGGACTCTATTTTTGCATCCAACTATAGTCTAGTCTGTCTCTAGAAAAAGAGCTACAGACAGTTTTCTCTAGTTGTTGTCTCTATTAGCATTTAGCCAAAATGCTAAAATTACAGCTTCAACATAATGAGACCAGAAACAATGTGAGTGTGCCCATCTTTTATATACAGTCTGTGGTTCTGCTGTGTTCATGAGTAATATATAAAGCAGCCTTTTCGCTTAGCTTAGCACAAAGACTGAAAATGGAGAAGACCAACTTTGAACTCTCTAAAGAAAAGCAAAAAAGATCTGCCAGTTTAAGCCTCTAAAATTCTTTATTTTACATCTCATCTGTTTAATGGCTGAAGTGTTATTACCACAAAGTTGTCAGTGGTTTATCAGACAAATGGCAAAGACTGGAGGATGTTACTATACGCTGCCAAGAAACAGTCTGACAACATGTTGTTTTTACACTTACATAAAATGTGTTAAACATTAAACTTTGGACATTTTTGTTGACTTGTAAAAGAGTCAGATTAGTTGTTTCCAGTCTTTGTGCTAAGGCAAGATCAGCCTTTCCTAGCTGTGGCCTTGTATTATACTATAAAAGTATCATCTGCTTCATATTTTGTAGATAGACATTTATGTTAAAAGTTTGAAGTATTATTTATCATGATTTAGCATTTTGAAAAGTAAAAATAGAGGTTGAATGTGAACTCAATCTCAACATTTTGATTTTATCCCCTAGACGAAAAAGCCCAAACTCAGACGTAGGTGCGTTAAAGCTGTTTAAAGCGTCAGGCTCCCATGCGCCATTTACATCAGAGTACATTATTTTGCAAGCAGCAGCTTTCAAATGGCGATAATGGGGGAGATTAAATGCATCCACATCTATTTCCATAAACTGTTTCTGCATATAGAATGTCAGCAAATTTCTAACACATCCTTGGGTATTTGGGAAACATACAAACCCACTCACATCTGCTTTAGTCAGGAATCTGTATATGTGCTTAAAAGCCCTGATAGCTCAACATCTGATTACTGTGTGCTCTATTATAATAAAAACGCTCCAGGTTCTGACAGTTCAACATCAAAACCAAACACCAAAAGAGAGTCACATCTTTCCATTTCAGTCTTAATTAGCAGTAACAATCAGCATTTTGAAGACATCTGCACCTGCAAGCTGATGTGTAGACATCTGACTAAGCTTAACTCCATGAAGCTGTTTTGAAGAAAATCTTTTTGCCCCTGAACTTGCACTTTTACCCCTCTCTGTTTCTCAGCTGGGTGAGTCAGAATTGCTCTCTTTGTAGAACAGTAGATGGGGGACGGGGATGAGATAAAACTGGAAAGCAGCCACAGTGACTGGCACCACGCCTAGATGTTAGGTAACGCGAATCCTCTGAAGAACTGGCTGAACCAAGACAAGCGAGAGACACCTCAGGTGCAACTGTGCAGCCTTTTTTTTCAAGCCATGCAAAAAAAAGATGAATAATTATTTCATTTTACAAAGTATTAAGTCAAAGTCTTCCTTTACTTTAATGTTTAATTTAGCATATTAATCACTCTTTAAGAAGAAATGAAAGACAAAAAGTCACAATTACAACATTTTTGAGGTATTTTTTCATACTAGACCACAATTTTACTTCTGCAAATTGCATGTTTTAACTGCTTATTTGTTGTCCTTTGAGCTTGTAATTGCAGAAGTCTGGGATGTGTGAGATAATGGATCTCTTTCAGCATGCAACCCCAAGCCTCATGCTTTCTAACATTGCGCAGTCCCAGTTTAAATGCTAATGGTTTTAGATTATCAAGCATAATTTAAATTTTGCAAAAGTTTTAGCTCTGGGCCTGTTATTCCAAAAACAAGTATCCCTTCTGAACTTTTGAAGATAAATCACTGCATATTTTTTACTCCTTTATGACTAACTGGGAATTAATGGAGTGTTACAAAGATAACATAAGTTTTGTGCAGAAAAGACACAGCAGAGTTCACAGCAGAGTCTAGCCTTAAATGTGATCTTTACTTCAGAATTTATTTCTTGATAGTCAACGTATGTGACTTAAACATCCCATGTGAAGAAGAAGATACGGTCAGCTTCAATGCTGAGCTAATCTCTTGGGTGTCACAACCGCCCCACCCAATCGTGAGCAGGCACTCATGCAGTAAAACAGCAGCTATCTGAATGCAGATAAGTGCACAAGCTGCAAAGAAGCCGCTAAACTGTAGAAACCGCTCAGAGCTCACAAAAAATGCTAAAGCTACTGCAGGATAACTTGAAAAATATCAATTTGAATGCAGCACAAAACCTCCAGCTTCCACCTGACTGTCCTTTATGAGCCTTTTTTGGACACAGTAATGAAATCACATGTGACCTCCACCTTTCCCAACAGGATTCACTTGTCTTCTCAGCTGCATGTGTTTGATTAGACCTTGTGACAGATGAGAATTCAACCCCATGACTCCTTTTATTGCATTTAGTTGACCTGCGCTGCAAACAACCTCCAATTTATGTTTGCAAGCGACTGATTGATTAACTAGACCCCTAAAATAGAATTTATTTTATTCAAGAAAAAGAAAGTAAAAATAAATGTGGAAATTTTGTTTACTTTGCTATTTTTATGAGAAACAAGCAAAATGTTTGTCATCTTGTTTTCTGTAAAATTTCAGTGTCACTAATATTTTCTGCTTTTAGTCTAAATTTTTTTTAGATGCAGTCTCAACACTGTGATATAACAGATGTAGCATTCATAAAAATCTATTTAGAAATAAAATGTTGACCAAGCAAGCAAGCAAGCATGCGGCTCCAGGTAGACTTACTGGGGTAGAGGTCCATAGGCTCCAATTTATGGTCAGTGTTATTGTGGGTGTCGTGTGAGTCATGGTGTCCATGTTCCCCATCATCATAGACGACAAATACCGCAAATAGGATGATGGTGATAATCTCCAAAATCAAGGCTATGATGGGGAACTTTGTCCTCATGTTGGTGGCATATGCAGGCATCCTGAGACCAACTCTGCTTATCTCTCGTGCAGCCTCTCCCTCCTCAGCTCTCTTTTTAGGGGGTTGTGCTGTGTGAAGAAAGTGGTGTCTGGTTTTAAACTGATGTAGGTTTTGCCGTGACCAATGACAAGGCAGAAGACCAGGGCCTCGGTGGTGAGCACCCCCTCCGTCGTGCACTTTGCTCACGAGGGATGGGTTTCCTCTGTGGATGCCGGAGGGGGCAAAACAAAACACAAACGTAACGACACCCAGCCAATGAGCGGACATGAAAAGACTCAATGACTGCTCCTTCCCACTCATTTTGCGCTGTCAAACTTACTGCATGTTTGTTTACTTAACTTTGCACTCATCATTTTATGTCTTGAAATACAGCAGCAGAAAATGCAAATCTAATGTGCAAATAAGACATGCTTTTATAGAAGGGGATACTGATTATTTACTGCTAATATGTAACAGCTTTCAAACTGTTACTCCTTTGTTCCTCTTTTTTCTCCTGTTAAACAACATTGTATTTTATTTTATTTATTTTTTATTTTTCTTTGTTGTGTTTTTACTGATGCACCTGCATTTTCAGATACAATGATACAAATACAAAATATACAGAAATATTGTCACAAAATGTGTAGAAAGAAAAGGTTGTGGTGGATTTGTTGTAATTTATTTGTAATCATCTACGCTTTGGTAACAGGAGTACACTTTGGTAATCACGTGGAAAATCAAATTGTACAATTCCTTTAATTTAATACAAGAAAACATCTACAATGACTGAACTTGTGTAACATCATGTTATTAATAATACTAAATTTTGTGACCTAGCTGTCCCACATTTTCTCTAAATTAGATTAGATGAGATTAGATTAGAGCCAGGAACACTTTGTTTTCCACCCCTCCCCATTTAGCAGTGTGTAAACATTTAGTGAGCACTTTATTGTGCTCTCTAATGTAGTTGTAAACACATATAAATGTGTATCAACGTTTTGGTTAACAGCAGCTTGTTCTGTTGTAAGTGACTTCTCCCGAGATGTTGAGGTTGGTATATCAAAAGACACGTACCAATTTTCAACGCAAAAAACAGGTGTTATGATATAAATATCTCAGCATTGAAGACAAGCACTTATTAATATCAACATACAATGACATTAACTGCTTATTAAATACTCAACCAAGGAGTTCAAGCGTCTTCAAGCGGATGTCTCAAGCATCCGACAAGTATCTCACATGCACTCACCAACCACTTTGTTAAATACTTTGCTAGTACTGAGTTGGAGCTGGTGGCTGTGGAGGCCATTTGAGTTCAATAAACTCACCATCATCTTCAAGAAACCAGTTTAAAATGATTTGTGACATTTTGTGTTATCCTGCTTGAAGCAGACATCAGAAGATGGGTACACTGGGGTGATAAAGGGTTGGATGTGGACGGAAAACAATACTCAGATAGCTGTGGTGTTTAAATAATGCTCAGTTGGTGCTTTTCCAATCTTCTGTTTTCCAATATTATTGAGTTTATGCAAATTATCCCATCAGCTTCCTGTTCTTACCTTACAAGAGTGGTGCCTTCTGCAGCTGTAGCCAGTCTGCTTCGAGGTTGAACATGTTGTGCATTCAGATATGATCAAGGGAGAATGCCCATCCTCCCTTGATCTCCAACTGCTCACTGGAGATGGTAGATCGGCAATTTTTGAAACAACTATATCTCGTTCAAAGTCACTTTAATCGTGTTTTTTCTCATTCTGATGCTTAGTTTGAACTTCAGCAGGTCGATTAGAAATTTGGGTTCACAAGCAGTTGAACAGTTGTCCCTAACAATGTGACCAGTGTGTACATGTTCATATTTGAGAACCAAACCATCCCAAGATAATTAAACCTCCAGGTAAACTAACGCAGTAGAGAGTAAAAATCTGTCTCTGATATACAGAGGAGCATTGGTGTGTTTATTAAAGTGTACTACAAGTATTTAACTATGAAAATATAGTCTTTCATCTTTACGCTGTTTGGAGGATTTTTCTTATTCCCACCAAAGATTTAAAATAGTCATTTAACTGTTCGTCAATACAATGCGTTATGGTTAGAATAATATGTTGTTTATGAGAGTTTATGAGTGTGTCTGACTCAGTGTCCTTCATGAACCTTCTAGTTCTTTTAACAAGAACTGGGAGCTGGGAGAAAACAAAACAATCTTAAAAATTATAATGCTTCTTTGTCAGGGTAGCAGGGTTTTTCAGTGCTTTACCATCAGCTGTTTAGTCACTCTTACATACAGCATAAATGCCCTGTGCTTGCTTTCCCACTACAAACCATCCAAGCTTACAGTGGTTCAGATTGAGCCGCAGGCGCTGATCCTTTAAGTGGCTCCCACTGAGAGTGTGGTGACAATCTGAGACTCTTCACCAAATTACCTGAGGCCAGAGGCCCTCCAACTGTGCCAGGGGCTTTATGAACTAGCAGAAAATCACTGCCAGCAACACATTTCTACTTCTTTTAGAACTGAGAGCAGTGAGCGTTTTTTTTTGTTTTTTTTTTAACCCTGACCCTTTGGGAAATCACTTTGATAGATATCAGAAACACTGCCGCACTGCTGAGACTGCTCTGCTTGCACTGACTAAATATTCCATTGGTGTTCGATGTAGAATTTAACTCTGGCTTTCTAACAAAGCTGTTTAAGTGGGGAGAGGCATAGTGAGCTATTTGGTAAATTTGAAAAAATATAGGGGCGTTTTGTGGTCCATTTTATGAGCGGCCATACAAGCTAAAGTTTGTTATGTCACTCTTGTGTAAATATATTGTTCTTTCATATACAGATATTGTCACACATGCGTACATGTATTGTCATCTTTGTACACTCTTCTTCTTATTTCATATCGGTTTCAGCTTTATTTGTCATATGCAAGTTAGCACAGGGTCAACATTGCAGTGAAAATGTGTATACATATTCACTCATACATTAATTTTCCTTTCACACATATTCTATTTTTTATTAATGCTACATATTTTTATGCTGACATACATTTATTACCCTTACAGGTGCAGCCATTTCTACTTGTGCATATATATACTCTTTATTTTTCAACGCATAGATATTTGTACTCCTTTACTCACATATACATACAATCCCAATATTCATCCTTTTGCATACATGCATTCTGACATTCACGTGTATGCATTTTGTAACACAGGAAGTTCATCCTTAAGCAGGAAGTCACTCTTGAACCAAAAAATGGAATACACTTGGAAAACTTATTTGACATGCCCAGACCTAACCCAGAAGAACCAAGCAATGAAGCTGGTCAAAGCCATTGTGTTTTCTTTACTAGCATTGTGGTTAAATTAGTAGTAGTAATGAAAATGACATTATAACTTAAACAATATATTCGAACGTATTGAACAAATTCAAAGAGAAGCTACCGATTTTTTTGTTTGTTTTGATCGTCAAGATTCGTTGACAATGAGAGAAATAGTTAAGAACTGAATACATCACAGTCCTTAAATGGATGACTGATTTTTTTTTTACTGACTGCTTATGAAACCAGAGAAAGATATGAGGGGCCAAACAAGCCAAAAATCCTTCTTTCACTTTCACACACATGCATTCTTCTCCACATACATATACGTATACTTTCACAAAGTTTTATTTTAATTTTTATATTTACATACCCTAAAAGTTGATTTTGTTCATCTGGATGTAGCGTTTTCAGTGGGGAAAACGTTTCGTCACTCATCCTTCTTCAGTCTTCTTCTTCAAGCTAATGTAGCTACCACCTCCCACATTAATAAAGATAATTTAGTATAAATAATATCAAAGTACGCATCAACTTACATTTGGGTCACAAGTACAAATAGTCCCACTAATATTTAAATAAACATCATGGCCTTTACTGTTCTTAATGTGGATGCTTATCTGAACGAATTAGCTAGTGCTAAAATGTTGTAACAAAGTGTGTTGCTAAATCAGCAAAGCATATTTAATATTTTGTATTTGGCAAATGTGCAGATAAGTAGCATCCTGTTTTGTTCTTACCTTTTCCTTGATCGGTGGTTTCAGTTGCCAAAGTGTTTCTGGGTCTGATATCGAAAAGACTGATATTGCAAAGCTTGCTGAAGTACTCAAGTTTCTTCTCCCCCATCCATGCTGTTAGACACCTGAAAGTAACCGGCTCGTGCTTCTCAGCCAATCACAGCCGTGCAGACACTCTACCTTCCATTTCCACTACTCCTTATGTTTCCACTATACTTTTTCATACACATACATTATTCTCTTGCATACATATATTTTCTTCAGACATGCATGCACTCTCTTCTTACATACATATGTTATTTGCATGAATGACAACACATGTATAAGAGAGCATAATATTGCATTATGCATGTTAAATATGTGTAAATATGAGAATAAAAATTAAAGTATATGTATGTGAAGAAAGAATGTATGTGTGTGAAAGTGAAAGAAAGAATTTTGGCTTGTACGGCCCCTCATACCACCTGTAGCCATTCATTCATGGCAGTGACGAGTACTCTCTCACACCAGCTTCTTCTTGTCGTAATTTCTTTTTCTTTTATCTTATTTCTTTTTCTTATTTCTCCCATCACCCCCCAACCAGTTGCATCAAATGGCCCCTCCCCGAGCCTGGTCCTGTCGGAGGCTTCTTCCTATTCAAAGGGAGTTTTTCCTTCCCACCGTTGAGAAGTGGTTGCTCTGAGGTGGTCATTTAATTGTTGGGATTTTCTCTTCATATTGTAGGGTCTTACCTTACAATATAAAGCGACTTGAGGCGACTGCTGTTGTGACTTAAATTCTTTTTCTGGATTTTAGTTATTGAAAAAAAATAAGCTACTCGGCTGTGTCCATTTTATGTACAGATTTTTCCCAGTGTAACTCTGGACCCTGGAGAAATGAAGCTCCAATCTGAAAACATTTTAAGACATAAAATATATTAACTTGATTGCTTTGAACTCTGAGGATTAGCTTTTTCTCACTTGGCTCTAGTCCGTCGGCATTTTCAGAGAGCGTGAGAACTGTTTACTTTTCGATAACAGTACATTCTCTCAATCTCACATTTCACAGCGACTATCCCCAGGAGTCTTTAATTTAGTGCCA